ACACATCACCTTCCTATCGCAGTAGCGCTCCACTACACTGTCCCAATCCACGTTGTATATGGGTGTATTTTTGTGGTGAGGCAAATGCTAACGAAAACAGGTTGCATGGCTTGAAGTGCTGACACCGCAAGGAATGGCAAACAAATCACAATAAAACCAACAATATCATCAAGAGGAGCCTCACCACCACCTATTGTCTAGCAAAGAATCCCATTTTGTAATGTCCACTAACAAGATTACCAACTTGCTCCTGAAAAACTAACCAACTGGAATGGCTTTAGAAAGGCTAATGTCATCTATGCCTTTACCATCTCTCTACCTTCCTTCCCAATGCACAAACAAGGGTCTTTCAAAGATCACATCATTTCTATACATAACCAGACCATCACCAAAGATATCATGACCAACAACCAAATAATTGATAGATACATCATCAATAGAAAATGAAACACAGCCAAAGCACAACATGGAAGTGGGTGGAGAAGACAGCTAGGGAGTGGAGGACAGTGAAGTAGGTGGTGATCAGTGAAGTGGTAAAGGGAATGGTGAGAGTATGGTTATGGCAGAGTGTAGGGGAAAAGATAGGGAAAGTGGTAGATGGTTATTGGAAGTTATTAGACTAAGGAAACAAACATCCTGAAAAAACAAACAAAAGTTCTCTTTTTGCAAATTTAGTTGTGGATTTTTGGAACAATTTAAGGAAGGTGGTGGTGGATGTCAAAACCACCAGCAGTATTAAAGCATCATATGACAAACATTATAGACACGCCAGGATACCACAAGTATAGCTTTCATCTTTTATCTACACACAAATAATTACACTTTGATAGTGACAGTACTCACACACATTACATATTTATACATCATATAACACAAAATGCAAATTGAATTTAAAATCAATGAGGCATTAATAATGCAAATAATTTTGTATACTATATCTACAAAATGTTATAACATTATTTTATCTTCTAAATGACAAGAATTCCTAATGACAACAAAACATGTAACATGAACATCATGGTATACAAAAGTACATATGTAGCAAGATTAACATATATCCAAGCCTTTTTGTACTGTACCAGTTTCACACAATTTCAACATATACTCCATAGCCAACTACATGTAATTTATACTAGATGGGACAAAGGCTAAATTAATAACTGTAGGCCTTTTATTGGATTGCAAGTCCAGTCTTAAATGTAATGAAATGCCTCTTTCTGGATGGGTCCCAGTGGCTCCCTGAAGCTATCTCCCTGAAATTGTTCCATGTAAATTTTTCTCATCAAATGCAGAAGTTCAATTTGGCCTACTGGAGACCAGATCCAAAACCTTCCCCCCCCCCCCCCCCCCATCTCTCCTCAGAGAGACGCTGACAGTGAGCAACAATTTGCCACCACATCTGGAAAGCATCCAGAAAACCAGAAAAGTTTTACAGCAATCTGCAAGGCAAAAGACCAAAGCCTCGAAATCATCAAACAGCTCTGCAAATGATTCACACATTAATAGAGATGAAATGCATTAGGCAGTGAAGTGCTGGAGGCAGAGACTACACATTATTTCAAATGTAAATATGATAAGAGCCCAGCAGACTCGGGAATCTGTACACCGGTTGATTGACAGTCGAGTGGTGGGACAAATGAGCAAAACTCAACCCCCGCAAGCACAAGTAGGCGAGTACACAGAACAAGAAAAACATTCAAAATTAGTGTAAAACCTCATAGCACCAAATATCATTACCAGGAGGTCCAGCTTCCTCATACAGCCATAGAGCCTCATCCAGAAAGAGGCATTTCATTACATTCAAATACTGGGTTTCCTGAGGTCAAAATGCTGACTTCCTGAGGCTAACTAACCACAGAGACCAAAAATGGGACTTACAGGGAGGAGGAGAGGTGGCATGTATAAGGATGAAGATAATCCAGGTTGGAAAACATGACCCAAGGTAACACATGACTGACTGGGACCAAGTATATTAACCAAATACAAGGCTACCAGAACCCTGTTAAAATATCCAACCCCCTCTCCCAAAACAGTATTAGGCATGAGGTGCAGAGCTAGAAATAACCAAGATAAAAAGGACAGGACTGATGACTCAGCTGACAATACCTCCACTTCTGGGTCCCCAAGCACCATAAGGGGCCAACTCCAAGGCATCCAACTGTCAAAATACAGCGAATACCTAACCCTAGCAAATCTAGCTTTCAAAATGGCAGCTGCCTGAAAAGTCATTGCATTGGATGCCAAATCAGTCAATGCAGAGACCAAGAGGGAACAGATCACACAGGACTCGGAGCAAGGTGTCATATAGGTGTCACTGACTCAACAGGCAGCATGGCAGAGGCAGAAAGAAAGACCACTGTCTGGTAGCAAAGATAATGAGCACCCTTCAAATATGCACATGGCGAGTGAGAGCTTGATGGGCTGAACCAACCATGTCAAAGACCCATGAGTGGATTACCAGGGCCTGAATGCAGCTAGCCAAGCAAAACAACCAAGCACTGAGGCTGTTTGCCAGAAGACAAATGCAAAGACAGTCAAAACAACCAGACTATGACTGGCATCTGCGGCATATCATATAACCAAATACTAGAGCCCCCAGACTCATGAACAGCCTTAAGCGAGGTTCTCCACTTTAGTGGCCTGATTTCTATGGGGTTAACTCCCGAACACACCAGAGAAGATATCTATCAATACAGGGATAATGCTAGTGGATACCCTGGGATGGAACCCAGAGCACATGCAGCCCAGACTACAATAAAGCCAAGCCCATACAACAAGCTGGATGGATAACATGTGAAACAAAAACTAAAATATAGAACAGAGTATAAAGCAAATAGCCCTCACAGGAACAAGTCCAAGGATGGCTGGAGCTCAGCCTGAAGCAGATGGTCAGGTGGCTAAGGCTAAGGGTCAGCCTCCATAGGGTTGTTTCCCATGGCTGAAAACCCCACAACCTACTGTCCAGGTGGACCTCAGCGAATTAAGTGGGTAAAGAAGATAGCTGTGCGTTGAAGCCAGGCAGCCTGGTGGTGGCATTTGGTACTATGAGTTTTGTGCTAATTTTGAATAGTTCACTTGTTCTGTGTGAATTGATTGCAGAGTTATTTGGCAATTTTTTTTGTTATCCCTCCAGTTGTCTGTAAAGCTTCCCTGACTTTCTGGATGCTTTTTTGGCATGGTGGTGAATTGTCATGCTAACACTGCACCCCTGTGATGGGTGGGCCAGGTTTTAGCTCTGGTTTCCAGAAGGCCAAACTGAGCTACTGTAGCTGATGTGACCATTTACATGGAGCAATCTCAGCAAAATAGCTTCAAGGAGCTACAGAGGGCTCACCCAGAAAGTAGTTAGAAATATGTACTTATAACTGTGTTATGTAATATAAATAAATAGGAAGGAGCAGCACCTTGGTTTTAAGCAGTGATGAGTTAGGCAATATGCATGGAAGCTTCAGTAAGAACCAGCCTTAAAAAATGCGAATGAAGCACTTATTCTGAAGAAACAGGGACAATAAACATTTTATTAATAGTGCTCCACTAGTTCAATTTCAAATGCATTACTTTAAAACTGTCTTAGCACTCTTGTGTTCTGGGGGTCTGTTTGAATGCCATCCACTGAAATTGACCAGTTAGGCAGGCAGGTGGGGTGCTGCTAATGCAGCTTGTTCTCGCCAGCGTTTCCAACATCAAGAGACTGTCGTGCTAAAGTTCCCTAACCTAAACAGAGGACCCATGAACAGCAAAATGGGACATTATGTCAATTTTGCAAGGTCCTGCCATTTTCTTGTACATTAGTTTTTCGCCTTATGTAAGGTATACGTCAAAATGCAATGTGTTATAAAATGGCTGATGAGCATTTTTATTATTTTCCAATAGGTAGAGTTGGTTATTGTTGTACAGAATTTATCATTAAATGGTTGCAAAAATTATTTTGTATGTGGTTAAAATAAATAAAAATAATGTTATTTCACTGACAAGATTAAAACTTATTATTTACACATTGATGAGTGTTCATTACATATATTATTATATTTTGCAAATAAAAATTTGAAAATGTTCTTCCATCATCTAATAGGAAGTAAAACACATTACTACTGTGTTGCCAAGATGTGTGTATTCCACACCCTTGCTGGGAGTACGGTGTGAGTGCGGTAGATGGAGGTGCCCAAGATTAATGTCTTTTTTTTTTTTAAATTCATTTTTCATTTTTACTACACAAATGTTTTGCAAATGATTGCTATCATTTGTAAAGAAAAGAAAGGGCCTCATAATAGTTTATATTACTGTAATGATATAGAGTTGTTTAATCAGATTTCCTTTTGCATGCAAATGTTCACAAATGTTTATTATATTTACAAATTTTCATTTATTTTCACAGTGGATGTTGCAATACCTTACTGTACTTCTTAATGAATGACTTGCTCCTTTTCTGTTTGTTGCTTTATGATAGGATTATAGTACAGTATACACTATATCCACAGTAAATTATAGCATGAAATACCACTAAATCGCCAAAGATATCATAACACGTAATAAGGTTTGGGTAATGATGCGTGCAAAAACCGTTCAGTGATTTAACAGTTTACATTACAATATGACAAAATTTGTGAAATTTTATTTTTTTCATACAAGTGAAAATTCCCTTAAATTCACTAAAAACATAAATGAAAATTTTAATTTATGGTGAAAATGTACCTGTTAACGTGTACTGCAAGCTTGGGTTTTTAGGAAAGCACATATTGCATCATTGGACTGCAAGTGCTAAATTGCATTTAATTCCAAATGTCCTATTGTTTCTCTAAAGTAAACTCTTTAGATATAGTGTATATAAAACAAATTTACATAAGAGTAAAATATTCTTAATAAAAATAGTAAACCACAAATTTACAATTTTTTTTTTAAATTTACATTTTTTTATCCCTAAAAAAATTGAATTAAGTAACAGATTATACTTGCACACAGAAAATTTTTACTTTAGGATTTAACAACAAATGTGTACCAACCTTGAGCTCCAAGCATTGTTGCCTTCACAGTTGAGAGTATCTTCAGCTGTGTTCCAATGGTTGGGATACGTTCACATACTTGCAACAGATTCTGAAAAAAAGAAACTAGAAATAATTCTCACATATTACACCAAAATATGCCAATATATTAATACAATATATTAATTGTCAAGATGGTTCTTATTCATTAGTCAGCTAGCCAGTCCTCCTTATTTTTCATTAGTATTAATTATGTAAATATACATAAATACATAATCATCACTCCTCTTTCCCCACCTTCATGAGGTAGTGAGAGACTAGCCAAGAAAAACAAAAAACCAGCGTTGAATGTAATGAAACACCATTTTTGGGGCGAGTCCCGGAGCTATCCAAGCTGAATGGGTATGTACATCTTTCTGGTATCAGTCAATGCATGGAGTTCATGCCTACCAGGGACCACGAGCCAGAACCTGGCCCCCTCTAGAGAAGCACAAGGAGCAATGGCCTATAGACCCTCTCCCTGTGGTTGGGAGTATTCTATGTCTACCATTGACCGAGACAGGCACCCAGAAAGGTAGGCGCCGCAAAACAAACCCGTATTCTGGTAAAACTATTGCAACCGAAGGCCGAACAAGTGGACATAACTCCCCAAACGAAAATTAACAAAATAGCACATCGTCATCATGTTGCCGCGCCGCTGACTGCTCAACCCCCCCCCCCCCCTCTCCGGGAGAAGGAAGGGGGGAGCCCCAGACCCACCCACCGGTGACCCAACCTACAGTTCTTAGGCTGGATGTCAAAAAGTGTGAAAAACACCACTGACCGGAGGGAGGGAGGGAGGGATGCCGGGGGAGCCTCCAAGACTCGCCCAGAAATTTTTTTTCATTACATTCAACGTTGGTTTTTGGGTGGGGGTGGGGGGGAGGGGGAAGTCTCGTTGGCTCCCCGGAGCTAATTACCCAAAGATAACTAGGGACTTACCCAGGAGGCAGTTCGTCCTCACTCCTCAACGCGAAGTCGAGACAACTGGCTGCAATCGCCGACCCAATACTCTGGCATTGCAAGAGCAGAGCTAGGGGAAGGTTACCCTGAGTACATGTACCTACAATCACTCTTAAAACTTGGGGTCGAGCTACACCACAGTGTAAAGGAAACGCCACCAAGGGTAAACACTAAACCATTTCGCTGAAAAGGCAAAACACGAGAGCCAGTATGGAAGAGAAGTGAACCGGTACGCACTACATCAACGATAGAACTGTTAGCTCAGACCCTGGCAGGTGGTGGCATGCAGATCCTTCTCCCCCCCTCTCCCTCAAAATAAATGGGGGGGAGGAGGGGCAAATTAGCTCACGTTAGTTCAGAGAGAATTCAATGATTTGTTTACATAGTTGCGGGAGTTCTTTAGGTGGGTTTTGAGGCTTCAGTCTCCGAATCCAGCAGTAGTTTGTTTTGAATCACTGACTTTCTGGTTGCCTTCCCAAGTGAGTTGATGAAAACAAATATCACCGCTCTCTGCCTCTGAGAGAGACCAGGTTCTATCTCTGGTCCCCAATAGGCTTATAAAATTACATGGCTGATACGACCTAGTAAATGGTACCATCTTAGCGTATAGCCACCCATTAGGGGCGCCTGACAGCTGAGTGGACAGCGCTTCGGATTCGTAGTCCTGAGGTTCCGGGTTCGATTCCCGGTGGAGGCGGAGACAAATGGGCAAAATGTTTCTTTCACCCTGATGCTCCTGTTCACCTAGCAGTAAATAGATACTTGGTTGTTAGACAGCTGCTACAGGCTGCTTCATTGGGGGTGGGGGGGGGGGTTTGTAACAAAACGGTGGCCTGATCGAGGACCGGGCCAAAGGGACGTTAAGCCCAAAAAAATCCCAAGATAACCTCAAGATAGCTGCAAAGGGATCACCCCAGAAAAAATTATTAATTTTTACATTTTTGGACATTCCTAGTAAAAAATTTGGCTTACTTAATCCGACTCATGGTGATGGGCTCCATATGATTTGGATTACTGAGCACAGAAGTACTATCATTTCTAGATGAGGTTGGGGTGGGTAATTTGCAAAGTGGAGAGAAAATGTGCACAGGCAGAACAATTATCATCTTGAGTAGTGGGATGCTTGGCTGAGGTTGGTCCCTTGATAAGCTCTGCTCACACCATGCTCATGTATTTCAAGAGTTTAGTTATGAATGTACAAATAAAATGGTTAAAGAAATTATTTTTTTTAGAAATTCTCAAATTGAATGACATCTTAACCCTGAGGCAGCAGTCATTGTCATATATTGATTCATGGGCTAATGTGGTTATCATATGACTATTTAAACAATTATTGTCTGGGTTTTACACACTCGATGCAAATAAGGATATAATTGGTCTATGTGGATGTAATGAAGTTTTCCTTGACCCTTAACAAAAATCCTTCTCTCATTAATTACTAATAAATCCTGGTACTCATTAATACTAATAAATCTATTACTCATTAGTTACTTACTAGATGAATGTATTGTCATATGGCGATTATTATTTGAGGGTGCACACTGGTGTCTTACGCCTTTGTTTCAATCTATACTCGCGCGCAAATGGTGTCACTTAGGACCATAAGTCATTGCCCAGAGCCTAACACCATTGATTATAATGTTCATATCCTTTTTAGTACTCTCTACTGGATGTGATGGAGTATACCAAGTAAACCAATCATCAATTGAAACATTATCATGTGCTATGTGAATTATGTAATTTATCAAGTTATTCAACACGCATACTCTTGCAAATGAAGAGAAACAAGTGCTACATCAGAGGATAATGCAGGAAGTGTCAGTAAAGTTAAGCACGACGCGCTGAAAGGTGCCAAACACGGCCACCACACGATTTTCCTGAGCGCCTCCACCCATTGAAATTATAAATATTAACTTACTTTTGTTTTTTCTTACATTTTGCATACAAATTAATATTCTATAATATTATTTTCTAGATTTTTTTTTTTTTTTTTTTTTTGCACATAGGTGGGTACAGTATGAAGATTTTTTCATAGCCGCTGGCCAGGGGTTAATAGATGATGGAACAATAATGTGTTAACAATGCATCTAAAGTCAAATTTATATACCCCTATTAAACTGGATATTGAGCAAATCAACTTTCCATTTACGAGCATCTCCTTTAATACAGTACAGTAGTGCTGTACTTCAGCAGTAATGTGCCGAGTTGTAAGCAATTATTATACCTAAAATCAGTGATAAAATGGTTAAGATCATGGATAATGTTGTTTTAAAAAGTTGCAAAGCACAACAGAGCTTCCTTATGTGATAAGCATATACTATATATGACATTTGTACCTTACATGTAATATTAAACATAATACATTACAGTACTTCAAGTACTGCACATTTCATGATTAATCTTACCGTCCTCATGCGCTTGTCAGTGCACTCCCTTGCAAGATCCTTTGCTAAACGTGTCACTTCTTCAGAAGCTTCAGCAATAGCCTTGGCACATGAAATGAGATCCTTTTTGGTGCCACCTTCACCCCGTACGAGTTGAGAAAGTTGGGCCATCAGCAATGCCATTTTTTTTGCAGCTGCAATAATGTGATTGTCACGAGATGACCACTGCTTTACCTCCTGGTGAAGGCCATGAGCTGCCATCTAGTGGAGAAACATGAGCTGTAAATAGGTTCAATCCCTACTAGGTTCTCAACTAGGATCATTGTATTTATGTACAAAACAGTGTCTATTTATTAATATATGGCTTCTATCTATTAACATATATTTTAATTACTGTTCAGTGGGTAAGCACCAACAAAGAACATGGAATCCAAGGGTAAGATTACCAGCAATGAGAGCTGAAGGTAACACACCAAGAGATCAGGTCACCTATGAAACAAAGATTGGTAAACCAGAAATATAAAACCCCAGCACTGAATGTAATGAAATGCCTCTTTCTGGTAGAACCCTGGCTTCCTAAAGCTAACTTGCTGTGACTGCTCCAATCTGTCCTTATAGAACATCGCATTTTGACAATCTGCTCAAGGCCAAAATGTGTCGTACTAGAAAATAGTAGTGCCTCATGAAAGTGACGTTCTGTCCCATTTTCTGTTTTGGGTCCTCTGGAATGTTAGAAGAGGACACTTTAGTACGACAGTTTCTTGACATTCGGAAACCTTAGGAGGACAGGCTGCAATGCTAATGGGTCACATCAGTCGCTCGAGTTCAAATTGGCCTACCAGCAACCAGAGTCAGAACCTGCCCCCCTCCCCATTCCCCCACAGAGGCACAGGGAGCAAGTGACAATTTGCCACCACCTTCCTCCCTCCCTCCCTCCCACCAGGAAAGCATTCACAAAGTCTTTGCGCCTTTTCAGACAACTTGAGGATTCACAGGAAATGAAGCCTTGAAACTGGTAAACACTCTGCAAATGATTTACACAGAACAAGGGATTCACTCAAATTATCTCGAAACTCATTAGTACCGATTGCCATTACCAGTCCTGAAGCTGATGAACAACTCACAGACAAACCTGGAAGGGAGGGAGGGAAGAGAAAAAAAAGAGGCATTTCAGTACTTCAATGCTGGGTTTCTAGGGGAGCTAAGCAGTGGCTCCCAGAGGCTAACCACAGCAAATAAGAATGGGACTTAACAGGGAGTAGGAGAGGTCACAGGCACCAGAAAGATGAGAACCCTGGTTGGAAGACATGGTCCAAAGCAACACAAGACTAACTGGGATGGGGAACATTAACTAAGGACTGTACTGGGCAGCCAGAACTTCATTATAGTGCCAAAACTCCAGACCCCAAATGAATATCACAGCAAATTATCATCCACACTTCCATAGAAATAAATATTTCCCTCACCTGGGCTCTAGGAGACTCAAACTGTGGACCCCACGTGTCCTTAACCCTTAAACTGCGCAACGCGCCTGCAGGCTCGCGTCTGGTTTGCGCAACGCGCCTCCAGGTATTTTGATTTTTCACGTTCCATTCAAAACTGGCGCGCGGTGACGCGGGTATGGTATGGGTGGGTGGGGGCCCCAGTGATCGTCCGCCATCTTAAAAAAAAATCCCAGCATGCCCTGCGGCCGTGGGGAGCCTCAGTTTCACGGCAGCAACCATGTCTGACGCATCCTCTACGAGCTCCCGCTCCACGGTGACCCGCGGTCATGGAAAACGACTCTCTGAGGAGGAAATACGCGATATTTTGTATGATGACGGTGCTCTGGATGATGACCTGGACTATGATCCAGATAAAGACCTAACTCAGAGATCTGATACGAGTGAGGAAGAGACAGAATTGGAAGATGTGGCGAGTGTGTGGGGTACTCGTGCCTCGCCCGGCCTGCCTCGCCGCCCTGGGTCAACACCGTTATCATCACCACCATCATGTATGTCCCCAGACGCTAGTAGTTTATTCAGTGATAGTACATGTGACGAATCTTTCTCGGGCTTCAGTGACATTGGCTCCGATACGAGTAGTGTGGACGACCCGAGTACGAGCAGTGGTGGTGTTACCAGGCGGGGTTTTGCTACCTCAGCAACACGCCGCGGCAGGCGGCAGCGTGCCTCACAGCATGTGGACAACGACAGTGGCCCCTCAACATCATTTATTCGTGGTAGGTGTACAGTACGTAAATCTGCCTCAGCGCCTAGCATACCCTCACGCAGCTCCAGCAGAAGCAGCGGACGACGTAGCCGTAGTTTTGGTGCTCGTGGTGGTGTTGGCCGTGGTGTTGGCGCCAACACCAAACCCCCTGGTGTACTTGTGTGGGAGGATTGCACCACATTTGCCCCTCAAATACCAACATTTGATGATAGCGATTTTGGTGTTACACCATTATTCCCATATACTGGTGATGATATGGCACACATGGAATATTTTCAGGCATATTATGACAATGTATTCATGGCGCATCTTGTGACTGAGACAAACAGGTTCGCTCACAGCCTCATAGACGAAGGCATTTTACCTGCCTCACGGCTCACACGATGGAAGGACACGACAATTGACGAAATGTACGTGTTTCTGGCACTCACCATGATGATGAAGCACTCTGAGAAAGCTGTCATCCAGGAATATTGGAGCAAAGACAGCCTTGTTCCATCGCCTGTGTTCAACCGGTACATGTCGCGTGATAGGTATCTCTTGATTCTCAGGTGCCTGCATTTCGAGAATAATGCAAATGAGGACAGACACGACAGACTGTGGAAAGTACGGAAGATGTTCAGTGACATGAGAGGGAAGTTCAGGGATTATTTTGTACCTGGACAGAATGTGGTTATTGACGAGTCGCTTGTACTGTTCAAGGGGCGACTGGCATTCAAACAGTACATTCCATCAAAGCGGCACCGATTTGGACTGAAGTTTTTTGTGCTATGCGACTGTGAGACTGGTATTGTCTTGGACATGATATTATATTCTGGTACAGACGTCGACATACCGGCTCAAGATGAACACGGGTTCTCTGGCAGTGTTGTAAAGACCCTGATGGAACCGTTGCTGAACAAGGGGCATGTACTGTACACCGACAACTATTACACCAGCCCCTTATTGACCAGATACCTCCTTGCCCACAACACCGGCGTATGTGGCACTGTGAAGAGCCATAGGAAGGAAATGCCAGTGTTCGGTATAGCTATAGCCGTGGGCGAGTGCCAGCTGCGCAAGTGTGACAATACGCTGTCAGTGCGGTGGAAGGACAGACGCGAGGTGAATATGCTGAGTACGATTCACACCGGTGCCATGTTGGACAGTGGGAAAGTCCACTTTCAGACACGCAACACCGTGTATAAGCCAGACTGTGTCATAGACTATAACGTGAACATGCGCCTCGTCGATAAGTGTGACATGATGCTTGGTGGAGTAGAGTGCGTGCGCAAGTCTGTGAAGTGGACTAAAAAGTTCTTCTTCCACCTGATGGATGTTGCAGTGCTCAACTGCTTCAATATGTACTTAGTAAAATCTGGCAGGAGACCGTCTATACGTACATTCAGTGCTGGTGTTGTGTCACAGCTGCTAGTAAAGTATGGCAAGGAGGGTTCTGTTGTACCGCGCGGAGTGCAAGCAACAATGCCACATGCAGCTCCAGACAGATTGAGGGGTAATGAGAACTTCGGAGTACATATGCTCGAGTATATGCCAGGCACAGCATCACGGGAGAAGGGTAAACGTGCGTGTATAGTATGCAGGAACACTACCCGCAGAGAACAGAAACGAAGATGTATCAGCACCTGGTGCGTGGAGTGCAAGGTGCCACTCTGCCCCGTTGGCTGTTTCGCAGCATATCACACACTCGCGGAGTACTGAGTGTGTTTATGGTGTGTGTATATAGTGTGTGATACTGTACAGTGTGTATATAAAGTGTAAATATAAATTTATTTGGCATGATACATTGGAAATTGTGTAGGATAAGTGAAGTTGTTTGTGATGCACGTAACACAGTGTCTACGGACAGTACGGATGTTGTACTGCGATATTACAGTGTACGTGTTCATTATACATTGGATTGGCACATAAAAACAATGAAAATGTATTGGGAAATGTGCGCAATAAATGAACAAAAATATATTCGCGGCAACTCGCGCGCCCCGCCCCGAGCGCCCCACCGCCTCTGAGAGCTTACACCACGGGCGCACGGGGAATGATGACGTCACGCCCCAACTTCCGGACCCCATAGCACCCAAAGTAAGTACAATTTCGAATTTTTTTTTACATACCCATACTCAGGGAAGGGTTTTTGACACTTTAAAAAGAAAAAATAATTTTTTCAAGAGAATTTATTTCCTGCGCACTGCGGGGGTGTCACATTTGGAGGCAACGCAGTTAAGGGGTTAAGGAAATATGGACAATATAGACTTAATAAGGAAACTTTCCTTATTAAAACTACTCAACAGCTGGGTCGATAGAGCTTTGGCCTCACACACGTGGTGTCCGAAGTTCGAGTCTATTGGAGCCCAGGTGAATGGAATATCACAGGTCTGAGGATAAACCACAGGCTGACTAGACTTAATGACAATGTGAATGATCTGGAAAATGTGAGCCTTTAAACAGGGGACCAAGGAAAGAGGATCAACCAACAAGGCATCCACTGAGGCAGAACTGTTGGTCCACAGGTAATGGTGAAGAGCCACCTCCAGATACAAAAAATTATGCACCTCTGGCTAAACGAACTAAGCACCAATCAACAAAAGACTCGTCCAGAAGCCAGCAAACTTACTCTTCACCAGAAAACAAGCAGAAGGCTGCAAACTACCCATCAGGGTCAAAAGAATAGAACACCTGCCTCAAGAGAAAAGCCTGAAACTCCCAACCCAACAGCTAGAGACAACTGCCCTCCCCCCACCACCCAAAAGTGAGAATGACATCACGGGCCTAACACAAAACCGTAAACTAAGGCGAGAAGAGAAAGACCAAAAACTCGGTCAGGAGAAAGGACTGCTTAGGAAGAGCACAAGTCTGCCGGATGTGTAAAATGCATGACAACATGCAGAATGGTTCCAAGGAGTTTTCGACGCCGAATGCAAGCAACAGTGGCTCTGACAGCACTGAATGCAAAGAGGCGACAGTATTCGGCATGAGATGCTTTTCATGAAACAACCAAACAAAAAGGACAGAACGACTGTGACACAAACCAAAAATGTGGAAAAGACAGACAGTGGTGAAATAAGTACCAGGCAACCTCATACCGTAGCTGTATGGAAATGTGTAGGTGAGATACCAACAGACCAGCTATCTACTTGCTATGCAAATGGTGACAAACCTTCATCTCCAAATGCATATAGCATAGGAGTATGCATATTTAAACCTGCAAAAAACATTGACAGGGTAACCCACTGAAAGAGGTGGAGCCATGGAAAAAACTAGCGTTGAAAGTAATGAAACACCATTTTCTGGGTGAGCCCCGGAGACTCCCTGGAGCTATCTGGCTGTATGTGTTTTATTAGTCTGCGGCATCAGTCAATTGGAGTTCAGCTTATCAGGGACCACAAGCCAGAACCAGGGCCCCTTCAGCGAGGCAAAGGGAGCAATGGCCTATGGAAACCCCCATGTATTTGGGGACACTTCATGTCTGCCATCGATTGGGGTTAGCACCCAGAATGGTAGGCATAACAAAACAGACCCCACGTGGTAAGAAAATCGTAACCAAAGACTGAACAGAGTCAGAATTCCCCCTACTTAAATAAACAAGCAAATGCCACACTTCACCACTGTACCACTTATCCACACAGCCCTCCCCTCCCCAGGGGGGAAAGGGGAGAGCCCCGGACCCCCTGTGCTGGCTACTCAACAACTCCAGTTCGGAGACTGAACATCAAACCCACTCGAAAAAAAACGTCGACTGGAGGGAGGGTGCCAGGGAGTCTCCGGGGCTCATCCAAAAAATGGTGTTTCATTACATTCAATGCTGGTTTTCTGAGGGAAGCCCCTCCAGCTCCCTGGAGCTACCTAACCAAAGACAAGTAAAAGATGGACTTACCCGGGAGGCGACCGCCACTCGTTCCTCAACTCAAAGTAGACACAACTGGCTGCAACCTGAGACCCAAAGCTACACACAAGAACGACTACAACCAGAAAGATTGACTAGATAATGAGCAGCCAGGACGATGTTCGACCTCCAATATCACCATGCCTGAATGTCAGCTCAAGACATGTTGCAGAAGATGGCAGTCAAGGCAGGAAGTGAAACAAAGCATAAGAAAGCTTACGGAAAGGGGCAGAAGTGACATCTACCCCCAAACGCAAAAGAAATATGCTCCCTAAATGTTACATCGTCAGATAACAGTATTCCCAAATCCTTTACATGCTGCTTTCCTACTATAGGCAGATTTGATTGTGTTTTGTACCCTGTATTATGTTTACAGTCCTCATTTTTACCATACCCGAGTACAGTACCTGGAATTTATCACTGTTAAACATCATGCTATATTCTGTTGCCCAGTCAAAAACTTTATTAATATCTGTTTTAAGTTTTTCAATGTCTTCAGCAGAGGTAATATTCATGCCGATTTTTGTGTCTTCTTCAAAAGATGATACGAAGCTATGACTTGTATGTTTGTCTATATCTGATATGAGAATAAGGAAAAGTAGTAGTGCAAGCACTGTACCCTGAAGTACAGAGCTTTTAACTGCGCTTGGATTCGATTTTATATGATTGACTGTTACTCTTTGTGTTCTGTTTGACAGAAAATTGAGTACCTAGCTTACTACTTTACCAGGTATTCCCACTGACCTCATTTTGTGTGCTATCACTCCATGGTCACATTTATCGAATGCCTTTGCAAAGACCATGTATACGACATCTGCATTCTGTTTTTCTTCTAATTTCTCAGTGACTGTCGTAGTGGTCAAGGAGCTGTGAGAGAGACAATCTTCCCACTCTAAATCCATGTTGGCCTGGATTGTGGAGGTCATTGGTCTCCAGGAAACATTGATAATGATCAAGATACACCCTTGAAAGAATATCATAATTCTTCAGTAATGTAGATGGTGCATAGAACAACTTTCATGAGAAAGCTTTATGTCCCAAAACCACTGCCAGTTTTAAACGCGCATTTTATAAAATTTAAAAGATAACAGGACACCAGAAGTCAAACTCTCCTATAATTGCAATTTGTTAATTACACACTTTTGTATTAGTTCTCCTTAAATATTCCTCAATATAAACCTATAACATGTATTGTAGATTAAAAAAAAAATCTTGGTGTTTCCTCTCCATGTGTAGTGGTCTTGAGGTAGCATTAACTAAATAACATAGAACAATATAGAAGCACCCTCACTTTCAGAGAATCTGTACAGAGTAAGTGAACTGCATTTGTGGCAGGAAAGTAAGTATTTTACCAATACATGGTGATACAATTGAAATTACTTCCTGAATTTACGTGTGTGTGTTAGTAGGCACTTAGTGGATTCCAATCCAAAATTTTGTTCGTACTACGAGCACCACATTTTAACTTTTATTTGTCTACTATACACATTATTCTCATGCAATAAATTGTAAACATTTAGTTAAATCCCATAAATGGAAGATTTACCATAATTGGTTGATTTGGTTGTGGTACTTCACTGAACATGTTGGTCTCATCTTCATCATCAGTCTCTGGTGGAGGTGGACGAGGTGGGGCCTTCTCTCCGCCAGGTAGGGGTGGCCGGGGTGGTGCCTGATCTGTCAATTCAATACTACAACATTAAATATAACAAAAAATATAAACTAAATACTAGTATATATACTGCATATACTCTGCTTGTTGGGATACATTGCAAAATGTGCAACATTTAATGTATATAATATACCTAAAAGCAACAAAATATTAAATCTTATAATCAAATGATATAATAAAGGAAATTTTCCCAAAACCAATACTGTATTACAGAATAAGTGTGGCTGTGTGTAAATTACCAGAGTAATTATCTAAGTGTAATTCCAGGATGTGAGCCAATATTGTAGGATCCCATCCTTCCTACAGTCTTTGACATTTAATATATTGAAGTGTCCAATAGTTCCAGCATGTCTTGTTTAAATTATTTCGTCTGCCTTCTACTACTGTATCAGCAAAATCAAGTCTTTATATTTGCCATGTTTTTTTTTTGGCAACTTTGCTTTCTTAGCTTGATGAATCTATAGCTTTTCATATTATGCATTTTAAAAATATTTGTGTTACTATTTTATGTTATATTGCTTCTTTCTCTTAAGTTAATTAATTTTGGAATAAGTAATTATCAAAAGAAGGTGTTAAGCCAGGAACACTATGTAACAATGACTACGTTGCTGCTTATGCAAAACACTAAATATCACTCAAGATGGAAGTACGAGAACAAAATGACATAAGGCAAATGATGATAAAGGTATCAAATGCTATACAGTGGTACCTCAGTTTATGAATTTAATCCATTCCTGGAGACGGTTCGTAACCTGAAAATTCGTAAACCGAAGTGAATTTCCCCATAAGAAATAATGGGAAATGAATTATTCTGTTCTTGACTTCTAAAAAATTAACTTCAAAGTAAATTTTATACCTGATTCACCCAAATCTTCAGTAGTAAAGTACAGTATGTACAAGTTACTACTTACCATTATTGATGACTCTTGTTGGCATATGGAAGACGGTGAGGAGGGGGGGGGGGGGAGGAGAAGAAGTGTTATTGTATGGAAGGGGCGTCCCCTTCCATTATAACATCAGGCAGTGATTATAACTGCCTGACACACTGAAGGAATCTGTTTGACATTGTCTTTTTCAAATTTTTTCAATTTTTTATTTTTTTATTTATTTTTTATAGAAAATGAAGCAGCCTACCTGACACACATTGAACAAACCTTTTTGACATTTTTTCCTCTTTCAAATTTAACAAAAAAATTATTTTTTTATTTGTGGTATTTTTTTTTATAAAAAATGGAGCCTACCTGACATACACTGAAGGATTTTTTTTTTTTTTACATTTCTGTTTTCAAATGTTTTCAATTTTTTTTTCTAAACATCAGGCAGTGATGACTTTTCTGGGGAAAACACTGGCACATTTTGCCTGCATACCACTAGGACCTGCTTGTGGCTCACTGCTTGTTTTTCTCACTAAAAACCTGTTTAGTGACACTTGTTTTTTCCCTACTTTATAACACTTGTCTGAAGTGAGACATCACATTGTCATTAACACTTTCGCCCGGGCATGACGCAGCATTGCGTCATCCGTTTACTGGCGGTAATTTCGGGGATGACGCAGCATTGCGTCATCCACTTTAAATAATCGCCAAAAATCAGGTTTTTATCCAATTTTTTTGGGACTGGTTTTAAAATGCGCGCCGATGTCTTCCCATTTTCCTTGTTGAGCCTTGTGGCCCTCAGGCGGCTTGGCACATGCCGTGGGCCCATTGCTTTCGCTCCACTGTTGTGACCAATGTCGCCTCCCCTCGCATCTCAAACGTGTGAACATTTCGCCTATTTTCCGTGGCTATATTTCTTACTGTGGCTTTAGAAACTATCTACGCTTACTCCACGATGGATAGTGATCATGAACAAGGCCCTTCCAGGAAGAAAATTGCGAAAGAAAGGCTTGAAAAGGGCGGGAATTGGGAGTGTAGGTGGAAGGCGGCTGAGCACTCACTCGCGGCTAACGCGTGGCCCGTCTTCAACTCGTCGGCGGTTGGAGCGTGACCAGGTTTTTATTTGATATGCTAATGTTCCTCTAGAGAATTCTATTGCGAACCCATTGAGACCAAAATGAAAGACCTAGAATAAAAATTGAGGTGACCAGAGTGAAAATAGTGAAAACATTTTATCGCGTTTGCGCGCTCCTGGGTAACTCGTTCGCACTTTCTCTGTTTGCTGCGGGTAATTAGCCGGGCTTTTGGAGTTTATATGCATTTAGTGCTGTAGAGAATTCTATTGCGAACACAATGATACCAAACTTAATCTCGTAGGACGAGAATTAAGGTGACAAACTTGAAGAGAGTATACACTTTTCAGATTTTACGCGCACTCCCGTGACACCCTGGGTCCCATATCGCACAGTTGAGGGGTGGCGAGCGGGGTGCACCAAAGTGTTAAAAAGGTTAACACAACGGCTTACTACACCTTGCTCTGGGTGAATTAATAACTTTTCAACATCCTCAAGTGTTTGTGTTCTTTGTTTCGTGATTGTTGATATGCCTTTCGCCACTTTAGCACTCATAATGTCCTTTTTCTTAGCAATTACAGTGCATATCATTGACATAGATTTGTTGTACTGCCTAACTAGTTCAACAACCTGTGTACCATTTTCATGTTTACGAATGATCTCTTGTTTTTCCTCTATGGTCATTCTCACATGTGTTTTCTTGGCTTACCACTGGCCAAGTGTTTTCTTGAACCTTACCACTGGCTTTCTTGGGACCCATGGCAAGATATATAATAACAAATTTTATGTTCAAATAGCCAAAAATCCGAAAAACTAAATCTTTGCAAAGAATTCAAGCGCAATAGTCACTAGGCAAAAGCCACTGGGCCTCCCGTGCGCAGTGCCTCGCCATCCATCACCATGCCACCACGTGCTAGGTCGACCATAAGCATATCAACAAACTCGTTTCCCAAGGTAAAGTTCGTAACCCGATTCAAATTTTCCGAAGAAATCGGGCTCGTAACCTGAAAAGTGCATAAAGAGGAGCATTCGTAAACCGAGGTACCACTGTACATTTATTCAAAGCAAATTACAGGTAAAGGATAAATTTCAGAGGTTGACAATAGGGAACAGATTCACAAACAATGAAATGAAAATGTATGAAACACTAAATGAACAGTTCCAAAGTGTGTTTGTGCAAAATGAGGTTTTCAAAGAACCAGACACAATGCCAATTCCAGATAACACCATAGAGTACATAGAGGTGTAGAGACAAAGTGGATAAGTACTAGAGGAACTAGGAAGAAACAAAGCAGTTGGACCAGATGGAGTTTCACCTTGGGTAGTGAGAGAATATGTACCCGAGTATTCCAGACATCTTTGTGTACAGAAATCTTAACATATATGGAAAAAAGCTAATATAGTTCCAGTTTACAAAAGTGGTAGCAGATCCTCTAATTTAGATCCTATAAATTAGAGACCTGAATAACAAGTGTGTGAATACAGAGAAGTGTGGTAGTCAGAATGCTAGAAAAATTAGTTAAAACCAAATGGAGAGAATACCTGAGTAGAAATGTTATAATAACAGATAGTATAGTTTTCAGGGAGTAAGATCGTGTGTAACTCGTCTTAGTTTTTATGATAGAGCCACAGATTTTACAGGAAAGAGATGGATGGTTAACTGCATAACTCTGGACCAAAACATGGCTTTTACAGACTCACACGAGTGGCTGTTTTGGAAACGAACATGCAGGAGGAGTGACAGGGAGACTGCTGACTTGGGTGAAAAATTTTCTAACTACCAGAAAAATGAGGGCAGTAATCAGAGGCAATGTATCTGACTGTAGGAGTGTGATTAGTGAAGTACCACTGGATTCAGTTCTTACACCAGTAATGTTCATCCTCTATATAAATGAACTACTAGAAGGAACACAGAATTATATGAACATGTTTGCTGATGATGCTAAGCTGCTAGGGAAGAAAAAGACCTAGACGATTATCACGTCCTTCAAAATGATCTTGACAAAATATTTGTATGGTGCACAATGTGGCAACTGGAATTCAGTGTGAATAAATGCTATGTTATGGAATGTGGAACAGAAGAAAATAGGCTACCACAACCTACAAATTATGTGAAAAGGAATTACAGAACTAACAGAGAGAGATCTAGAGGGTAGTTCTGGATAGTAGACTATCACCAGAGGAGCACATAAAGAACATAGTGTGAGGAGCTTATGCTACACTTTCCAATTTCAGAATTGCTTTTAAATACATGGATGGTGAAATACTAAAGAAATTGGTTATGATCTTTGTGAGACCAAAGTTGGAATATGCAGAAGTTGTATGGTGCCCATATCTTAAGACGCACAGCAACAAACTGGAAAAGATGTAAAGACAAGAAAGTAAAGAGTTTCCTGAACTGAATGACAAGAGCTACGAGGAGAGGTTAGAGGCATTAAATATGCCAGGGCAAGAAGACAGAAGAAAAAGAGGCGATATGATCACTACGTACAAAACAGTAACGGGAATTGAGAAAATTGGTAAAGACGAATTCTCGAGACCTGGAACGTCCAAGGAAAGGAGGTCATAAATTTAAGCTAACTAAACAAAGCTTCTGAAAAAGCATTAGAAAATTTACTTTCACAGAGTTTTAGAGGCTGGAACAAGTGAGAAAGTGGAGGCCAAATCTGTCGGAAGTTTCAAAATATTATATGAGAGTACTGGGAGGACGGATCACCACGAGCGTAGCTCTCATCCTGTAACTACACTCGGGAAACTACACACTTCAAAGAAAAGTTCTCATTTGTGAATAGAGTTGTGGACAGTTGGAACAATTTAAGTGAGATGGGGTGGATGCCAAAAACCATCAGAAGTTTCAAAGCATTACATAGCAGATTATAGGGAAGACAGGACACCACTGTCTTCCCTATAATCTTATTATTTGGTAATGATAAATTATTATTATTTGTAATCTTTTAAATACACTTAGGTAATTACTCACACATTTTTTAATTATTGTCCAACTAGTGTACCTGTAATATAGATTATCTTATTGATGAAAACTACAATTTAAAACCAGCTAAATGTGTTTCTAACATTAGCCAAATAATGTTAAAAGAAAAATAGGTTAAACTTAAGAACATTTATATAATTTCTGCAATTTGAAAAAGGCATCAACACAAATCATGCACATTATTACATGTCAGCCATTTTACCATGCATATGCAATTTCATGCTAATAGTTAGAACAAACTAAACATCTAATGTGTAAAGCATCCCAGCTTAATACTGCACATACAATAACATACAATATTGGTATTGGATTTTTTAAATTTATGTAACTGGCTGATAACTGCAAAACAAAACCATGCATCAATAAATTATTTTACATATTTTTTTAATAAGATGAATGATGATAATGCTCATACATCACTGCTATGAAGAAAGTAGTACAGTACTGTATTTACTGAATGAAAGAGAAATAAACATTAAGGAGTGCATAACTTCCAACAGTGTGGAAGAGAGAGTTCTGGTGGAATAACAACCATGATGAAGCTCATTCCTCTTGTGAGCATTACTCAGCATGCCATGCATCAGTCTCTGCAATCACATCTAACATAACAAGTAATGTGTATTCCACACGAGGTATTTTAAACATTACTGGGGTCATGATGCTGTACTGAGAAAAAATTAAGTAAACAGAAAAGGTAGAATAATGAACATTTAGTTAATATCAGATATATAACAAGAGACGAGTTTTACCGAGTTATATTTCAATATAACGCTTCTATTAAATCAAATGTATCCCTCCCTCCAACCTCCCAAAAATTATATACACTTAAATTTGTTTAGAAGCAAGACAAAGCATGTTCATTTTAGTCAAAAATGACCAACAATGATTTTATAATCAATTCCAGACATAATGAATGACTAGATAAGAGACTACATAACCAACACAGTACATATATTTTAAATCTTGAATCCCACAGTTAAGGAGGTAACAACCAACTACATTATGGGAGAAACAGGGCTTTCCTAAATAAAAGTCGATTGCACAATATATCTTCAAGCTGGCATGGCATACATAGGGACTAGGGGGAAACTTTTGGCAATAAATTGACATGAACATTGATCTAAATTTAAACAATTATTTGAACAAGGTATATGTAAAGGAATATGTATGTATACACAGAGAAAATATTACAGGGGCTAGTTCCAATCTGCACACGGATATAACATCACACGAGACCTGAAGGCATGGCAAGATGTGCAGAATACCCCTGTTGAAGAACAGAGTTGAAATAGGTACTCTGAGAGAACTATCAACATCAGAGATCAGAGACTGTTTAACACGCTTCCACTTAACATAAGGGGCGTAACTGGCTAACCCCTTACGGTGTTCAAGAGAACTTAATAAACACCTCCAAAGGATTCATGATCAACCACGTTGTGATTCATATGTCAGGCTGCAAGCATCCACGCCCGACACCCTGGATGACCAGACCATTAACGAAGAGGTCTGGACTGAGACTGGGCCGCGGGAACCTTAACCCCCGGAATCAAAGCAAAGTAACAAGGTAAGGTGGTATGCATGTATATATGTATGCGTGTATATATATGTATGCATGTATATATGTATACATGCATGGATGCATGTAAATATTCATGTATGTAGGCATGCATTTACCCAGTCGAGTCTACAGGAAGCGAGATCTGGCCTTTTTGGCCTCCCCTCTTATCGTCAGTTATTTGCTATATTTTGGTCCCACCACCTAGCTATTGGTACCTGGTGTATTTTGGTCCCACCACCTAGCTATTGGTACCTGGTGTATTTTGGTCCCACCCCCTAGCTATTGGTACCTGGCATATTTTGGTCCCACCACCTAGCTATTGGTACCTGGCATATTTTGGTCCCACCACCTAGTTATTGGTACCTGGCATATTTTGGTCCCACCACCTAGCTATTGGTACCTGGTGTATTTTGGTCCGACCACCTAGTTATTGGTACCTGGTGTATTTTGGTCCTACTACTTAGCTATTGGTACCTGGTAAATAAATTTGTTTAAATTCCTTACCATGTTTGGGCTTTAAACTGAATATAAAATTAGCTTCTAGAATGTTTCAGAATGTTTTGTGTCTATCACCTGCACAGGATACTAGTATAGCATCCTCACACATCTCTCATGCATTTACTATTCAAACTTTCACACGACTTATTGCATCTTCTCTCTAAGAAAATACTGTGCCAAGTGAGCTTAACTCTTCCTTTATTATTTCATCTTCAGTAATCACTTTCCCTTTAGTTTCAAGGCTTCCCAGACCAGGAATGCATGAAGAGCCTGACCATCCTCAGGCTCCAACAGAGCCCTAAAGGCCAAACATGAGAGCCTCCCATCCAGAGCCAGGCTCTGTGGTGGATGCCAAGACTGGGGAAGGTGCCACCACCAACTTAAAGGGCTCCAAACCAAATACAGTACTCCCCAGAAACAGAAGGCAACAGGTTCCAAGTGGGAAGCAACGGCTCAAACGCCTCCGACGTTTGAGGCTAAGTGGATGAGGCGATCCCAGGAGAAGGCCGAGCTACACTCCACAACCCAGAACAAGTAGTGAGGGGTTAGGCAAATATAACATGGACAGATAATGAAAAAAAATGAGGAAGGCAATTAACACACCAAATTTGGTCACAATTAACCAAGACCAAATTCCCCCAAAACATGGATCAACTCTGGGGCAATCACTTACAGTACAAAGCTGCAAAACCAAACAGGCAAATGAATCCAAAACTACTGCATACATGCATGCATACAAAAAAAATAAAGCACTGAGGCTGAAGCTAAAACAGACATAGCGAAATGAAGTGTCGCATGTCTCGGGGCAGAAGATAATGCCCAACCATGGGGTAGCATTTGGAGGCAGAAAACTGAACAGTGGCAACATGTAGCAATGCTGACAGGCAACCTTCAAACTCGCACATAACAAATGTGGGCTTGACAGGTCGACCAATCACACATCACATCACAGACCCCACCGGGAAGTTACCAGAGCCTAAAGACAACAACGGACACTCAGGCACTAGGAATGCTCTTCTAAACAACTGACATCAAATACAGTCTTGAGTGGCTGGAAAGAGTGTCAGTGAAGTGCCATACAGACAAGTGTGCATACCCAAGGGCAACCCCTGATGTGAACAAACACAATGCCCCAACTATAGGGTCTTGCCAAGTCATGATGCATATAGTACCTAGGGTGAGGCTCTTCACCCCTTGAGGCCTGGCTTTCCATGGACAAACTCTTGAACACACCAGAGAAATAACTCAGTGAAAGGCATTGCATTAGGGAAGTGTCATCCTAATTCTCTATTAGGGCAACCCTTCCCTAAACTCATGCAGCCTGTATCACAGAATAAAATAAGTCCACATAAGTAATGTTTATAAACATCACATAAGTGATGTTTATAAACATGCTCATGAACAAAAAATTAAGTTATGAATGATACACAAGCAAATGGCTCTCACAGGACAAAGTCCAACGAATGGCCGTTTCTTACCTTCAAAAAGAAGTGGAACGTGCTAAGAACAGTGACAGGAAATAGTGGTCGAGACCACATCAGTGACTGAACTCGGCTGGCTGGCAGCTCTGTGCATATGCACTCTGGGGTATTTCATACCCAGGTTTGAATGAACTATTTAATTTTGAGGGATTCTTTTGTAGTGTCAGTTGACTGTTTCGGTGATGAGTTTTCATGAATCGTGCAGTGCTATATATTGTCTTGCCTGCTTCTGGATGCTTTCTCAAGTGAGGGTGATCGTAAAAATCCCCTGCTCTCTGAGGAGTCCAGGTTCTGGTAGACAAACATAACTTTGAAGACTGATATGACTGTGTATGGGAAGCTACAGCGAATATAGCTTCAAGGAGGTACCAAGGGGCTCCCCCAGAAATTAAGTGTATGTATGTGAACTAGGGCATCAGGGGAAAGGAAACTCCACAAACACTTCTGTCCTGCCACAGTAATTGAACCTGGACCTTTTGACTGTGAACCGAGTGCACCAACTACTGGCTAGCACATAGTATACATACATAAACCAAGTGGACACCTTCTGGCTGAGATAACTGCTAAATGTCAAGCATCTCAAGGCTAGTTCTGGATAAAATTGCTCAAAATATTATTGCCAACAATTGCTGTTAACAGGGATTTTTTTCAAGGTTAAAGAATTTAATGGTAGTCAACATGACAAAAGGATAAATCCTTTTAGTACCTGTATTAAATTACTGTACGTAATTACTCTAATATAAATTACTTCAAATTTATTATTGCACAAACAAATTATGCATATACTGTAATAGTATATAAAACATTCTTAATCAAAATCTTCAATATGAAATCCAAAAATTTCCCCTATCAGGAAAGACAAAATCAAATTGCAACATTCCAATCTGACTTTTTCCACCCCAAAACACTGGTACAGCAAAACAACCTCTGTAGTGGGAATAAGGATCCGACGGCTGCTCATCATCCGTGTAACTGTCATTGAGAGCATCACATGTGTTTCCTGAGGGTATTTAAGGAAAAGATTCAGTACAGTTTTCACAGGAACTTGTGCCACACCTTTTAATTTGTATTTTCTCTATCGCTGAAAGGTACAATGAATTTTTCTTTTAATTGTAAATAATAATTGCAATAAATACAAAACCCTGTGATATTTTGTATACATTTTGAATTTTCATTCAAAATTTATACAAAATGTCCCAGATTTCATGAATCATAATTTGTCAAACATTTACCGAAATACAGTACAGTGAAAATTTAATTAATTTAGCAACTAAAAAATATTAAAAACGGTTTACTAGGTACGTAATGTCATTTAAAAGATATCTATTCAATTTCAGGTGTGCATATTTATTTGCTTTTACTGAACATAAGAACAGTTTGCATCACAAGTGCCTGAGAAAGCTTTGCTAAGTACCTCGGCCCCACTTAGGCACAGCTGATAACAAGCCAGCACTCGGAGAACGGAAGGAATGTGGCCGATCCAGAGAACTGTATGGAGATGGAACACCTCCAAGTTCACTGCCAACTGAAGTTGGGTATATGTGAATATTGTCAGTTACACACACATTGAAACATTTGTATATTACTAAAGACGTATTTTAAGAACAAATCTGAAATAATACAGAAGGGGCAAATGAAGGCCTTTCAAAACTACTGTTATAATTAAACTATAACAATTACAATTCATAAACAAAATTTAAAAAAATTGAATACCAAAAACATGTTAATATTAGTACCTATATTATTATAGAGAAGGGGGTGAGAACCATGGGGAAAGTGTCCATTACTGCTGCCATCATCTGTAAAACAAGCCCAAACAACCACTTAGCAACAAATACCAAACAATTAAATAACTAATATATAAAATTCTGAATGTCAAGAACTTGGGGAATTGACAATAATGATGGTGATCAAGGATGGCATCCTCCATACCATACTTCAGGACTATCTTGCAAGACAATTTTACAAGATCTTGAAACCAACTATCTCTCAGATAAATATTAAAACATTTAAAAACCATTCAGTGGGGAGCTAAAAAAATGTCATAAAATAAAACAAGTGATATTTACTCTAAACATTTCAAGATAAAATTTAATATTTTTACAGCACTGTAATACGTTCCTAGATCTGCCACTAGGGAATTATACACAGTACTGTACATCAAAATTAAAGAGTACATTATATAAGGTTTGATGCATGTAACTATTGTAATATGAATTATGAAAATAGTACCACTGAGATAAGAACCAAAACAACATAATGCCTACACTATAAAGAAACATACTGTTCTCCCGGTCATCAAGATGAACTGAAAATACATTAAGACCTCGGTAATTTGGATTACAGTACAGTATTCCAAATGAATTCCCAATCGAGTTTTTCATCCATTTTTAACCTACTAACCTATTCCTGCCAAACGAGATATCCAAACAAATTTTAATTAGACAATTTTTGGATGTTACCGGTTAAAAAAAGTCAGCTACCTCAATTGTTTGGTTAACTCGAATCGGGGTGGGCCCCACATGATTCGAATTGCCAAGTGAAGGTCCTATAATATTGCATTCGGGAACCAAGCCATTTTCATTAATGAGCTCAATTTAATTTATATAAACTTTATTAAATTTGAAACAATATTCAATTTGATATGTATTACTATACAAAAAACACCACACCATGCCATTCACCTGGATTCCTGTCATGGAAATAAAGAATATCACATGAAAACTTGTCATGCATTTGGCCAATGAAGTAAAGACTAGAAGCTAGGTGCACACTGCTCATAACACACCTAAGATTAAAGCTATTCACTTGTAATCTTTATGGCTTGATTAAGTCTCAGCTTCTAGATTTACTCCTGAAATAAATACTGCACTATGACCAACATGCCATACACTATAGGAAAGGCATTCAGTCCTTTCCTAACTACTAAACTATGTATGCTTTTTATCTATGCCGTAATCCTCAAATGCATCTCACCTTGCAAGTCTCCATAATAATAAGGGGCTTGTGAAAAAAATTATGAAAATAACTATCACATAGGTAAAGCACTTACAGAAATATCACATCTGTTTCCTAATTACAGTTTTGCAGAGCAACAAATACTGTATATTCAAAAAACCAGCATTGAATGTAATGAAATGCCTATTTCTGGGTGAGCCTCGGTGGTTTCCTGAAGCTACAATGTTGATGTAGTGCCAAACTACTAGGTGCCATCAGTTCCATATTCCTTTTAGGCCTACCAGGGACTGTGAGCCAGAACCTGGCCTTTTTAACGAGGCACAAATCAGTGGCAGTATGATAAAACTGTCTGTGAATTGTCATAATGTCTGCCACCACCAGGGAAGCGCCTACAATGTCAGCGAAGAGAAACTGCTTAGAAGAAAGATCAGAGCATCAAAATCACAAAAAAAAAAAACTTCCCCAACAAGGTAAACAAACGATTGAAAATTCATGCAACTAGCACAAGCTCATTCAACCTACCTTCCCTCTCTCATTAGGGGAGGAGAGGGGAGGCAGACTGGGTCAGCTGGCTGCTCCACCCTCAGTTCTGTGATGGACAAAATTATCACTGACTCTCAGGGAAGGAGAGGGTGTCAGGGAGCCAGTAGGGATCACCCAGAAATAGGCATTTCATTGAATTCAATGCTGGTTTTCTGAGGGGAGGGGGCACCTTTTGGCTCCTTGAAGATACCTACCCACAGAGAAGGAAAAGAAGAGGCCTTAATTGCAGATATCATAACGAAGAAGAAAACATAGGCTGCAACACATGACCCAAGGCTGCACAATGCTGATGAGGACAAGGAACATTCACAAGATACTGTACCTGGCTACCAGGATCCAGTTCGACCACTAAAACCCCCGTGCCCGAATACTGGCCTAAGACATATTGGCAAACACAGCCAAGAGAGCAGCAAACTTATGAACGTCATGGGCACTAGGTAGGCCACAGGCTGGCCAATCAGGACTACTCTAGAACCTCAACGCATCTATAAAGGAGAAGAAGAACTGAACTCAAAAGAGGCTGGATCCATCACAAGGTGAAATCCAAGTTACACAGGAGGTACACACAGAGAGCCTTCCGAGCCTTTGCTTGGGTCTAGAGGTTGGAAACCTCCAGAGGGATGAATCTGAGGAACCCAATGGTACCCAGAAATAAACCCTGGGAAGAGCTGCACCCATTTCAAACTTATATAGGAAAGAGGGACATGAAAACCCCTTACACTGCAGTTACGTACCTTGTGGTGGTTCCAGGGTTCAAGGTCCCCGTGGCTTGGTCTCTTACCAGGCCTCCTGGATGAGCAACAGAAGACACTTCCCAGAAGGAACAAGAGTCTATGCTGGATCAAACAGGACCCAAGGGCCCTTGTCAGACACCCCCCCCAAGCCCAGGGAACCACACCAGAAGGCCCCAGGGCAGAGCCATCATCCACTCCCACCACCCAGGATAGAGAAGCGGAGACCAAGGAAGAGGCATCATAGTTTGGCCTCTGCACATATGGAAGCATGGAATCATTATAGAAAGAGGCCACACCTCCAAACATACCAGCGATACAAAGATGCAAGAAATAACTACATGTCATCAAGGAGAAAGGCAGAGAGGAACTTTGAGAATGGTATAGCAGACAAATGTAAATCATGTAAAACATTAAACGAAAAGTTCGAAAGTGTGTTTGTACAAAATGAGATCTTCAGAGAACCAGACAAAATAAAATTCCAGAGAACAGCATAAAGCACATAGAGGTGTCTAGAGACAAAGTGAAATAAATGCTTCTGGAGCTAAGTAAGAACAAAGCAGTTGGCCCAGATAGAGTTTCACCATGGGTTCTGAAAGAATTTGCACCCGAGTTCAGCAAAAATCAGCTGATTTTTCAGATATCCCCGGGTACAGAAGTCTTAGCAGATGTGTGGAAAAAGGCTAACATAGTTAAAATCTACAAAAGTAGCAGCAGGTAAGACCCCCTCAATTATAGACCTGTATCATTGACAAGTGTAATAGTCAAAATATTGGAAAAAATAATAAAAACTAAATGGGTAGAACACCTGGAGAGAAATGATATAATATCAGACACACAGTATAGTTTTCGATCTGAAAGATCCTGTGTATCGAATTTACTCAGTTTCTATAATCGAGCCACAGAGATTTTACAGGAAAGAGATGATTGGGTGCATCTATCTGGACCTAAAAAAGGCTATCGACAAAGTTCCACAAAAGAGGTTGTTCTGGATACTGGAAAATATTGGAGGGGTGACAGGTAAAATTTTCTGACTGATAGAAAAATGAGGGCAGTAATCAGAGGCAATGTATCGGACTGGAGAAATGTCACAAGTGGAGTACCACAGGGTTCAGTTCTTGCACTGGTGATTTTCACTGTCTACATAAATGATCTACCAGATGGAATACAGAATTATATGAACATGTTTGCTGATGATGCTAAGATAATAGGAATGATAAACTTAGATGATTGTCATGCCCTTCAAGATGACCTGGACAAAATAGGTATATGGAGTACCACTTGGCAAATTAAATTTAATGTGAAAAAATGCTATATTATGGAATGTGGAATAGGAGAACATAGACCCCACACAACCTATAAATTATGTGAGAAATCTTTAAAGAATTTTGATAAAGAAAGAGATCTGGGGGTGGTTCTAGATAGAAAACTATCACCTGTGGACCACATAAAGAACGTTGTGCGAGGAGCCTATGCTATGCTTTCTAACTTCAGAATTGCTTTTAAATACATGGATGGCGAAATACTAAAGAAATTGTTCACGACTTTTGTTAGGCCAAAGCTAGAATATGCAGCGGTTGTATGGTGCCCATATCTTAAGAAGCACATAACAAACTGGAAAAAGTGCAAAGACATGCTACTAAGTGGCTCCCAGAACTGAAGGGCAAGAGCTACGTGGAGAGGTTAGAGGCATTAAATATGCCAAAACTAGAAGACAGAAAAAAAAAAAAAAAGAGGTGATATGATCACTACGTACAAAATAGTAACAGGAATTGATAAAATTGATAGGGAAAATTTCCTGAGACTTGGAACTTCAAGAACAAGAGGTCATAGATTTCATAGATTTAAACTAAACAAAGATGCCTTAGAAATATAAGAAAATTCACTTTCGCAAACAGAGTGGTAGACGGTTGGGACAAATTAAGTGAGGTGGTGGTGGTGGCCAAAACCGTCAGTAGTTTCAAAATGTTATATGACAAAGAGTGCTGGGTAGACGGGACACCATGAGGACACCACCTCATCCTGTAACTACACTTAGGTAATTACACTTAGTCAGAAGGGACAAACCTCGGAGCTTTCCAAGCCATATCCCGAGCTAAACCTTGCCCCCTTGCCCCCTGGGTGGGGGCCTCGTAGCCTGGTGGATAGCGCGCAGGACTCGTAATTTTGTGGCGCGGGTTTGATTCCCGCATGAGGCAGAAACAAATGGGCAAAGTTTCTTTCACCCTGAATGCCCCTGTTACCTAGCAGTAAATAGGTACCTGAGTGTTAGTCAGCTGTCACGGGCTGCTTCCTGGGGGTGGAGGCCTGGTCGAGGACCGGGCCACGGGGACACTAAAGCCCCGAAATCATCTCAAGATAACCTCAAGATTGCCCCTGACACCGAAACCCTCAGACACTTCGGAGCTGGAAGTAAGAAAAAGAGGACCACAGGGAGGGCATATCATGCTCGAAGATAAAGGAAGGAGGTATGGATGGAGCAACAGTCAAATTAGCCAACACCTCCAAATTCAATTCCCTAAACACCAACCAGGCACATAACTTAAACCACTGTAAGAAAGAAAACCTCAAGCATAAAGTGGTCACTGCCTGAAAACCCTGAACGTTATCACAAGGATTTGTAAGGAGAGTAATGTGCAGAAAACATTTCACACTACACATGGTCAAAGATGTCACTGATCCAGCAAGTAGCATGCGGGCGCAAAAGGTATGAGCTTAGCCACGTGGTATAGATGATGCGCATCCCTTGAACTTACAAATGACGAGAGAGGAGTTCAGCAGAAATATCCAATGGACCTCTAAGCCTGCAGGGGTTTTCAAGGGTCTGCAGGGAATGGCCCTGCAGGCAGCCCAGGCACTGGGATCACTACATCAGAACCCAGAAATTTGAAACATATCCCTGTTATCTAGAAGGGAAGTCTCAATGGACCGAAATATGAATAGAATAGTCGTATAGACACTTGAAACGGGTATAAGTAGGCCGGCCTAGCTCACTGGAGCCTGAGAAGGCCAAACTCAGTGTGCCCTGATTCGGACACACGAACCCTAGAGCAGCCTGCCAGCCAAAATTTGCTCCTGACCTCAGTGAAGACAGAAAGCCAAGAACAAATGAACTTACCCAGGGCGAGAACCACCACAAGCGAGGAAGTCCTCTAACGGAGCAAACCCCGAATACTCCAGGGAAAAGAACCCTGTCAGCACAAGGGCGGGACTAGGGAACACAAAGGGAAGAAAACTCTGTGTTCATGCAGCTCTAAGTGCCCTATACTCCTAACTCTCACAGCACAACATGCATTGGAACAGCCACAAAGGCAAAAACCCACCACTTAGCTGAAGCAGGAAATAGGAGCCAGAACAACAGAGCGGACAGCCAAGGCACTAGTTACCATCAGCAAGAACTGAGGGTAGAGCAGCCAGCTGACCCAGTCTGCCTCCCTCCCTCATCCCTCATATGAGGGGAAGAAGGGGCCAAAAGAGGTTGCGCTAGTTTCATGAATTTTAAATCGTATATTTATATTGTTGGGAATGTTTTTTTTTTTAGTGATTTTAAATTATTGATCTTCCTTCTAAACATTAGTGGTCTGTTTTGTTTCGCTGACTTTCTGGGTGCTTCTCTGGTGGTGGTGGACATGATTTGAATTCACAGACCATTTTATCATAATGCCACTGCTCTCTTGTGCCTTTTTAGAGGGAGCCAGGTTCAGGCTCATGGTTCCCAGTAGGCCAAAAAGAACTCCGGAACTGATGGCATCTAGAAGTTAGGCACTATCAGCATTGTAGCTTCAAGGGGCTCCCCCCAGAAATGTTAGTTTCTCAAAACTAACCATAAGAAAATGCCAAAAATTCCATATAATATACAATTTTATTCTATTCAATATAAAATTATTCCAGGAAACCGTAGTGTGAACATGCCTGATCTGAGCCAATTTTGCCACATCCATCCATTTACCTGCCCCTCTGTGGCTCCTGTCTTTTCCAGCAACTAACCCCACACTGCACCTTAGTTATTATTTCTTCTTTTCCTTTTCCTTCTCTTTCATGACATGCTTTCGAATACGTCCCCACGACACTTTAAAGTCTTTCTCTCTTATTAACTCCGTCTATGAGGTATTTTGTAATTGCTCTATTCTTTTATAGTCTCCTCAAAGGCAATGTCATTATCTGCCTACACTTTTTTTTTTTTTTTAGAATTATATTCTATCTTGGAATATAGTGGTCACATGAAGGGTTAAGTTTGTCTCCTTCCTCGATTTGATTGATCATTTCTTTTTTCTGTTATTAGCCAAAGATCTAGAATACTGTTACCTCGAGTGGGCACTGTCACATGTTGTATGAAAAAGGAGTCCAGTACTGTACTAGGTCAAGAAACTACTTTACTGTACAGTAATTTTGTTTGAGATGTTAGATTTGGCCAAATAATTGTCTCATCATTAAAATCTCTCATTATATGGGTTTGAGCTTTGTTCTGTTCTTTCTGAAAGTCAGTTGGTACCCTGGAAGATGGAATTCCATTTCAATTATATCTTCTCCCCCAGGTTTCACTAATCTCCAGTTGCAGCGAACACTTTCCAGTCCAAATTTACTCGCCTACTTTGAAGAATAAAAGTTCAGCCAAATGGGATATGTGCAGATCTGCTTAGGATGTAGGGCCAGAGTTCACAGACTGGTGGGAATTTTCCAATCATTTGATAAGCTGCAATTAAAATTTCTCTCTGAAATTAGCCCACACAGCATGGAAATATCAGGGCATGATTGGTAACTTATTTAATATGGCTCCAATCACAATTTTTATGATTTTTATAGAAGGATGCGACATTATAAGAATTAGTTGGAGCCTTGGGAAAACTATTGAGGGCATTTAAAACTAAATGCTTTAGTTCATTTTAATTTTGAGTAGGAAAGGTGTTTGTTTACTCTGGTAAGACTCTGTTACCTCTTAAATTAATTTCAAGGCTAGGGAATGGGAAATATACTAGAAATGGGATAATCTCTTAACAGACAGGTTCTCCTGGTATATGTTCATCATATGATAGGTTGAAATTTAAATTTCAGTCAGTGAAATTAGCCCACAGAGCATGGGAACATTAGGATATGAATGGTAATTTTCAAAATATGGCTCCAATCATATTTTTAAAGATATTCACAGAGGGACTCAGCTTTAGGTGAACAATTGAAGTAGTAGATCTTATTTAATCAAAGAACTGCATCTTACAAATGCCTCCTGATACCATCTCTAGTTGCAACGAATCCCTCCCTCCAATGAATCAGGGTTGGTCCACCGAATCGAGGTTGCATTGTACATTCACAATGTCAAATTTATTTACTAGGATTCTGATACTTGTGTAGAAGCAACAAACTCCTGAAACTGTTCCTTGGGGGCAGAGATATTTGTCTTGCATTCTGCACACTATTATTCCATATATTGTTTCTGGTTGTGTCTGCCTGATAGTGATGGATACGGTTAATTTTGACTTGCTGAATAGAGGACTTCTTTAATATTGTTCAGAACGCATTTTTGTAGATGTGCGTAATATTCAGATAATTATTTTATGCTGTGAGAAACCCATTAAGCAGTTAACAAAAATTGTATGGTTTATTTTCACTTTGAGTTTGACACAATAATCTAGAACATTTTATGACAGCCAAAAAGTAAGGAAAGTTTTTGAAATGCAGATTATTCAAGAATTCAGATCGAGTCCAGAATTACATAATCCAGACTTTGGATGATTCACTGTACATACTATCTTGCACACAACATGTACAAAATATAACAATTATGTAAAAAAAACTTGAATGAGGTGAGAGTTATGAAGTTTGTAGGAAGCATTCTTGCTAGGAGGTGGTGCTATAGCTTTGGACAACAGTTGGTTCACATGGCAGTTTTGAAGGTCAGATGACTTTTGTCTAATATTACAAGATTAGGAATATTTTTAGGTTCAGCAAATGATTTTGCTGAATTAATGTACAATAATCCAATTCTCCATTTGCCAAAGGCATGCAGCTCTGACAGTGAAAGGTTTGACCCTTAACATCACGCCACCGTCTAATATTATCACCTGCCTAAGGGAAAAAAACTACAGTACCTGTACTACTTTTCTGATTTTATGACCTACATGAGGAAGCTGTGTGACAAGGTCACTATGTCATAAATGTATTATAACCAGATTTACATCATTAGTATAAATACTGAGCTATCCTAACAAAATTTAGCAAATGACAATTACCACATTTGCCCAGGAGATCAGCAAATGACTGACTACATGTTGGGGGTTAAGGGGCAATTAATTAGCCAATGTATATCTAATAACTTATATTAATTATTTTCTCAACAACACTGCTGTAAGTCACGCCAAAAACACCCTTTGGTTTCAACCATTAACACAATACTTAAAAGTATTATATATAAAAACAAATACAATGTAATTAGTAAACAATACTAATAGCAAAACATCGAACTTATTAAAAAACATTAATACACAAAAAGTAATTTAGCAAAATGCTTTCTGTGTCAAGTATCTTGTTAGACTGAATATTTGACATTAATGAAACATAGTATTATCTAAAAAAGGCATTAATCTCATATTGCACGTACCATTTAACAAGCAATTATACTGCAAAAGAATTTACGTTACTTACGAAGCCTATTACATCAATTGCAGGGTTATAAAACACACTTTGGCTCAATCATTAAATGGATCAGACAATTAGAGCAAAATAACACACAGGGAATAAGGGTAAGATGACGGAAATCCCATGAAGGGGTCAAGACTGATGATGATGGTATGCATCTATCATTTTAACACTAGGACTAGTGTATTAAATGGTACAGAACAGTACACTATTGTACAGTACTGTAAGTACTTTCAATATCGCAAGAGTTGTTTGAGAATGTTTTAACTAGCCAATTGGCAAGTAAATTTACAAAATTAAAAAGATAAATTACTCTAATCCAGACCCCTTCAAATTTGGAGCAACAAATTCCGAGCACATTCCATGCGCAGCTAAAAATGGCTATTGGCTCTTTGATTGAAGATAATGGTCTAGAAAATAAAATGAGTTTCCTTTACAGTATCTATAATCAGCATTATGCATGATATGTTATTCCAATTTTAAATGTTTATAGAAACTAACATTTATCTTTTATTTTTATAACTATTTTCCTTGATAAGTAACTTGGTAAAAAGGATTTCCATAATCTGGTTTTTTCCATGTTCCAAAAGGATACCAAGATGAGGAACATCCTACCTACCCAAAGATTATTAATCAAAAGCTTAGCCCCAAAGATCTAGAAATATTATATAATGTATCACTAGACAATAACATTTATGAATGTTATTTATGGGAGCAGATTTCCAGAATTCAAGAGCTAAAAAACTGATGCTTTTCTCAAATTTAATCCATGACCAAAATGAGCCAGCCAATCCAGGGGTCACATCTACCAACTCTACCTCTCTCTGGTAAGTGGATGCCCTGATACTGTGTGGGACTCAGCGCAATCTCCGGTTCCCCAAAGATTTTCATAAAGTCCACCTTAAATATGTCATCATCAAGGTCGATTTGTGGAGGTGCTGGAGGCCGTGGAGGAGCTGCTGTTGAAGGTAAAGTCACAAATTCTCAGCAAGCCTAATCGTGCCAGTAGGCACTACACACAAACCTCACCTCAAAGAATCCTTAACAGCCATTAGTCAATATACCTAATGCTCTGTTTGTTAATGAAGAAAGGTCCTAAAAATACATACTATATAAAACAAAAAAAGAAAGTATCCATAATTTTAAAATATACATATAAATGATGATCACCCATTACCAGTTAAAAAATCCTTACTGTACCTTACTTCAATTCTCAATCCACAATATAAAAAATCAAAGCCAGCTTACCTGTTGTATCCATAAAATAACAGTGTGCTTGGAAAGTTGGGTTTACAATTAATAAGAAGTAAATTATATAATTATTACATTTAATAATACAATATTAATGTTGCACTTAATAAATGTTAATAATCCATAGTTTAATACGTTTATAAAATGATTATTTTAAAAGTTATTATTTAATTTTAATTGTCAATACTGTCATTATTCTAAAAGCTAAATATATTTATTAAGTACAGTACTTTTCCTAATAGGAAAATAATATACTGTATAACAGCTATATAATACAAATATTTTATTATTCCTGAAACAGGTAAATTTCACCTAATTTCTTTTCCTTGGCAATATATTAAAAATAAGGTTTTGCTTCAATTTATCTCTATTAAGAAAAGCCCTAATTTCAAAACATTCATTGTAACTATAAATATTACAATAAACAGAATTTAAAGTTGTCTTACCATTAAGTGAGAGAGAGGACATATCTGGAGGTGGTGGAACAATAGGTTCTTCTTCAGGATACACCATCACTGCTCTTCGCACTTCACCCACAGCAGACAGAAGCTGAGAAATAAAACTCAGATAATCAAAGTTGGGAACTACAATTTTTTTTATAGCAAAAGTGACGTGTGCATCATACAGTATCTGTTGTAGATATACAGTACAATAACTGAAAATGATTATGATTTCATTAGCATTGCAATGTCCTACCATGTTAAACAGAACTCTGAACAACTTTTAAGGCTGTATTACAACAACTAATCAGCATGGTCTTTATTTAAAAAAACTTTTTTTTTATATATGTTCTCAGACAAAAAACTGCAGCTTATTCCGGGCAAACATTATTACAAGAACTATTGCATATAACTCCATATTCTTGCATTAATGGAGTTGTAAAATATTCAGCTGGTACAGTCACAAGAGCATTGTCTAAGATCACAATGTATTCTTCTGTGTTCAGCATTCACCGACAAGCATTAGTTTGTTCTTGTCACCGAATCAATGGCAGACTCTATCCCATGACCCTGGAATAATTGAACTTAAACCTAAATCCTGTTTGCAAACAAACAAAAATGCACTTTCATCCTATCTACACTCAAAGATGTGCATTAAAAGAATGTATCGAAAATCTCACCTCTGAAGACTACTGTCCTTCAAAACCTATCAGTCGTCTATGCTTATTGCCCATATAAAAGAACACAATATGATTATGGTTCACTTCAGCATCCTTTGGCAGCTAACATGTCGGAATAAAACTTCTTTCTCTGTGGTTACTGAAGATAGACATTGATGCTAGTGTTGTAAAGCTTTAACATTTGTCTGTTGATGTTATGCATGATTTTAAAGAGACAGATGAGTGCCTAGATCCCTGATAATCTACTACTTTTGCTGTTGGCATTTACCATTTCCAAGTTAAAAAATGTAATCAATATTTATATTAAGGATAATACTATATTAATATTTATATTAAGGATATTGCTGTTTTTGAAGAGTTCATTTAATTATTTTTGTGTCAAAAAGTACAAAACTTAGCAATACAGCATTCTGAAAAAAAAATTAATTTAACTGCTTAAGCGTAAGAAATACTGGTATCATTCCTTAGCTATCTTAGGTAATTTAGGGATTTTTTAGTGATGTGGTAAATGAACAATTCTATTACACTGCTTTGTTTATTTCAATACAGTAATATAGAAGGCATGCTATACAAGGTAAAATATTTCTTGATTTCACTCAAGCCGTTTACTTTCAACAAGAGTGGTAAAGAACGAGTCCCCATAATGTTTTTAACTACTATTATCATTATAATTGGAAATTCACTTTCTCTAATACAGTTCTTTACAATGTCTATTATAATAGACAAATGTTTAGCTTGACTTTAATGCAACAGTAGCCTACAGTTGGTATTTCACGAGTGTGGTAACTGAGAACACACCAGTGCGGTGCCTACACTCACTACAATGTGTACACCTTCACACGTGTATAGCTGTCAAGTACACTTATAACCCTATGCTGTAAATATTGAGAATTGGAATGATGGCAAAAGATTAGTGTTTCCATTTGGTATGAGCTTTTTTTGGGTAATCTAAACCAATTATATTGACAGTGATATTTATTTAGTAGTAAATATCTTGCAAATTGTTACGTAATAAGACATAAGACTGATGTACTATACATAATTTATTTGTAATGTTTATTGTCTTGTTAACAGCAACCATAAGTAATTCATAGAAAGTCTGTTCATCTTGATTTTCACTAATTCATAAAAGTTTCACATGTAATATAATTTAAAGCGTGATGATTGCAAGCTACTTAAATTGCATTGTACTAAGAGTAAAGCAAAGCACAAGATCAGAGTTTATATATAACAAATGCATCATCCAGTATCCCTTTATTCCTATCTCAAAGTCAATTTCATTCGTCATTACAAAATGGAGGTCGCACAATGATAAAATGAACCCATAATTCCCAGATATTTTTCAAAGTGATAACAACAGACTAGGTGAAAATTCAGTTTGAGTGCATGTGAAAAGCAGTTTTTCAGGGCAGTACACACCCCTAAGGCAAGAACTTACTGACCTGTTTTAGGATCTGGCACAGTCAGGGCAGGTTGACATTCAGCACTGGTACAACAAGGATCTGTTCAAACTCTCCCTGCTGAGTTATACTGGCTCCAAGAAAAGACTAGAAAATATTCAGTCCAGCCCATAATGCAGAAAAACTATATATATACATAAGACACACAACCCTTATATACAACATGGCATCACAGACTACCATGGCTAACTACTGAATTGACAATTAGATCACTACCCTTATCAGGTGGTAGTACAATACAGTACTGGAATAAAAACCCCAACCCCAGCCTTAAAAAAAAGAAAACCGTGGATACAGGGAAAAGAAAATAGTGGATACAGGGAAAAGAAGGGTAGGAACAGGCTTAAGTTTAATACACTTAGTGTGTGCTTTTACTTTGCACTCAAAGTCTCCTTTTTAAGCTATCCACTCGATCGCTTCAACAGGCAAGTGTTGTCAGAAGTCACCATAACTACAACAAAATAAAGGCAAGGATCACTTGGGTGGCAGAGTGGTGCAAGGAGAAGATGCAAGTGAGGAAAAGGCTGAAGTAACAGCATGTGCATCCACAAAAATCAACCCACCAGAGAAAATGGTTATTTATATGAAAGCATGGAGAAGGCTACAACCTGACAGTGTACCAGGGAACTTTGTGGTAGCGAGAGGCAAACCTATTTGTGGATATTCCAACACTGTCAAACACAGTTGTCAACACAGGACATAACCAAAAACAATGCTTTAGTATGGAGAACAACTGAAGGATGCGATCAGAGAAAAAGACCAACTGACAGTGTAGAGCCACCACATGTTGTATGAGGAATGACATAAGGGCACATAAAGCCATAGGACAAGATGCATAAATAATATTTGATACTTACTCCCAATAAAAGATAAAAGATCTGCCTCCAAAAATCCACACTCTAAGATTGGTAAAGCTTAGATAAGATCAAATAAAACTGAGTGCCAGTATACTGTGCAAGGCAAAGGTAGAAAAACCGGAGTGTGACATGAAGAGTGCTCTGAGAACCAGGATCAAAACTATCCATATGAAAACTAGCAAAATAACACCACCAACAAAGCTCCTCTGCTTCCGAAGTGCCAAGAGCAATTGGACTGGGAAAACGGAAATCATTTCTTAGTAGATACAGTCAATAGGCAGCACATTCATTGTAAAAGAACTGCAAACATGGATAAGTCACACAAATAGGGAGTTAGTTGTTCCATATATGGATGAAAGCAAAACTAATGGAGCAGCACTAAACATGCTGCATAGCCAATGAATGGAGACCTCAGCCTGCATGCACTACATTCAGATGGAATAATATGTGGAAGGCTGTCAGCCAGCACGTTTGACACCTCACAAATGTGAAAACAAAATTCTCCCTTCACCTCTAATAAGGTAAAAAACTACTAATTGGGGATACCCCAGAGATTATATTCCAAACTGGAATATAAAAAGAAGATCTCTTTTTCCTGATTCAAAGAGACAAGAAGAACAGACACCAGTCAAAATACCCAGATCAACAGTTGAAAAGATGCTCAACTCATTCAACATCTGACTGGAAAGAGAGAGGTGTGAACTGGAGAGTTGAAAAGCAAAACAGTTCAATAGAATGAAAACTGACAGCTGACAGAGCATATCAGGTCTGCAGGAAAGAAGTGTGAAGTCTCTTTGACTGAGCTCTGAAAGAGCTAGGATAAGAAATGGTGCATAAACCCCATTATGCTACATTAACTAAGAAACGCAATAAGAAAACAAATACTCTAGAACCCCCCCCCCCCCCCCCCCAAAAAAAAAATGCCAACTCTTGACCTGAGGGCTATGACAATGGACAGATTCTGAAGTGATTAAGTACACAGTCACAGCACATACACACATGATGGTAGTACAATGCATACAGGACACTAATGCCCAAAGTTCCAAGGATCTATGAATGTAGAGGGAAACTTCAGCAAAGATTCATCACTTCTGAAACCATTAACTGATTGATCAGAAAGAATAAAATTGTGCAACCTGTCAAAGACAAGGGACCTGAGACATGCCATAATGCTACTCTACTGAGTAAAATACTGATATAAAGAAAAGGCCATAAACAATGCTGGATCACTGTATAATCTAGCAGAAAAGCAAGAGCTCAAGGCTAACCCTAACCCAGCTGAGTCTAAACAGGACAAGGGTGATAAGGAAAGTCTAGGGCCAGTTCTAAATTAACAAGAACAAAATGCTGTATAGCAAAATTAACTGACCTGATATCCAGACATAAATAAAATGAACCAAATGCCCACACATTAGTGAAAAGGAGACCTATCTTGTGCTATGCTCGGCAAAAACATGTACAAAATCATCAACAAATGAAGTAGTTGCAAGTATAGTGGCAGTATTAAGAGAAAAACAACTGCTGGATCACTGATAAACTGGAACAAAAACAACTGCAGGAATTAATAACAAATGACAAACACCTGTGTCCTGGAACAAAGTACCAAGGAACCATAAATGTGGTCCGTGCTGAAAATCATGAACTGGCCAGGAACAGAAAAGATAATTTTGATCGCTGATTGGTTATAGTCCAAGGATTTGCCTACACACTCCAGAGCCATTCATATAATGTAGTATAAATTCCCTGCATAATCAAAATAAAGTCCCTAGGGATAACGCAAGCTACTTAACTGAACAAACTGCTCACTGCCTCTCCATACAACTTGCAGCGATAGAATGTCAGGATAGAATGTTTAGAGACTGAATTAGAGATTTTTTCCAGTACAGTCACCTGGTGGTGATTTAGGATCCTAATGAGTCAAACAGTAGTTAGCCAAGATATTGGTTGATGGCCCTTGTGATGCCAAAATGGGAATGGAAAGGCTTTAGTGTTAAATACTGTGTCCGTGGCACCAGTATAATCTGGTCTGGACAATTTGAAAACTTCCCTGCTATTCCAGTGCCGAATGCTGACCTGATATGAGTGCACCAGGTCCTGATCTGAGGCTAGTAGCATCATCATCACAGAGTAACTGCATGGAGATGGCACAGAGAGAATGGTGCAAATAAAATGGCATTGAGTGATACATTTTACTATTTAAAAAGCAAGGTGAAGATAGCCTATGAATGGTGTGCCATGTAATAGAGTCAAATGATAATAGTTAAGCAAGAATTTCCACTTGTTTAATAAAGAACTCACTGATACAACAGGTTGATGACTTTGACGAACATGTTCAATACATGCACCTGGCTGCAGAATCTGTAAATTTAATTTTTTAACTTTTCTGACCAATGTAATGCTCCAAAACACTGCCACATTAGTAGACATCTGAATTGTATTTAAATTTATATAAAATTTATGAAAACATTATGGTATAGAGAATTTGAAACTGTCCTTTTTGAGTTGCCCCAAAGTTGCTGCTCAAGCCAACAGCCAGGGTCCACCCAGAACGTTTAAGACACCGTGCTTGTATTGACTACTGTAACTGTTACAAGCAACTTTGTAAGCAGTCTTGTAATATACTTGAAAAGAGAAGACAATGGGGGAGTTGTTCACAGTTTTCTTAATCCCCCCACCAAGAGAAATCCCTCATTATGATACCAAAACGAAAAGACACGTGTTTCATTATCAGTTTCAAGTAATAAAGAGCTACACAAATGCCCTTTATTGCTCTGAACTACTGAGGCAACTAATTTCCACCCAGTGGTAGTCAGATCACCAGTATTAGGACTGGATAGCCAGCAGGCTTCACTTTACATCCACAATACCTAAGGGGCCGGAAAATGAAATTTTGCACCTTGATCAAATGCTTTCAAATTTTTTGCACATAATCTACTTGGCACATGCTCCAACTTTGTCTAAATAATCACCAACATAACTTGAAAAACAAGAAAATGAAAAATAATTATATAAAAAATATTGAACATTTCAATTTTCAAATGAGCATCAAAAATAATATCGTAAATTGTTCATTTGGTGTTATTATGCTCTCAGAGGAGCATATGATCTCCATTTTTATTTGTTATTATTATAGGATTCAGTATAGTTTACTGTAAAAAAAAAAAATCGTCAATATGGCATTTGAAATATGCTCCAAATTTTGACCAAAAAATTTATAACTCCCTACATTTAAGGTTTATGAAAAACAATCAAATAGGACTGTAGAACAGACAGCTGTACCCAGTATATGTAAAAATGGTGAGAATCGGTCAGAAACAGGATTTTTGATGCCGACTCAAAGATGAAACTCTAGTTTTAGAGATAACTGAAGTTGAAGTTATCGACAATGAATAAGGCAGTTCTAATTCATCAATTTACTTGTATGTTTTAATAAATATTGTTCAGCATTCGTACTTGAATATATGAAAGTTGTAGGTGAATATGTGTTGAAATGAAGTCAAGAAAAAATACCCCCTCCCCCCCAAAAAACCAGCGTTGAATGTAATGAAACGCCATTTTCTGGGTGAGTCCCGGAGGCTCCCCGGAGCTATCCCAGGCTGATATGCTAATGTCAGACTTTGGCATCAGTCATGTGTATGGAGTTCTTAGGCCTACCGGGGACCCCGGCCAGAACCGGGCCCCCTCAGAGAGGCAAGGGGAGCAATGGCCTATAGAAGCCCCCGTGTAGTTGGAAGCATTCTATGTCTGCCATCGACCGGAACAGGCACCCAGAAAGGTAAGCGCCCCAAAACAAACCCCTATTCTGGTTAAAATTGCTACCTAAAACCGAACTAGTGGATAGAACTCCCCAACCGAAAACAAGCAAACTAGTGTGACGTCACACACTGCCGCGCCGCTGTCTGCGCAGCTCCCCCCTCCCCGGGAGGGGGAAGGGGGAGCCCCAGACCCCCCGCGCCGGCTACCCACACCTCAGTTCTTGAGGCTGGATGTCAAAAACGCGAAAAACCGCCGACCGGAGGGAGGGAGGGATGCCGGGGAGCCTCCGGGACTCACCCAGAAAATGGCGTTTCATTACATTCAACGCTGGTTTTCTGGGGGGAGCCCCGTCGGCTCCCCGGAGCTAACTACCCACAGACAGAAAAAGAGGGACTTACCCGGGAGGCGGTCGTCGCTCACCCCTCAACTCGAAGCCGAGACAACTGGCTGCAACCGCCGACCCAAAGCAACACAGGCCCGACGAGGCCCAGGGACATTCACAAGGTAACGAGCAGCCAGGACCCTGTTCGACCGCCAAAATCCCCGCGCCCGAATATCAGACCAAGACATATTCCCAAAGACGGCAGCAAGAGCCGCGAACTTACGAACGTCATGGGCACGGGGATAGACCGCAGGCTGGCTGGACCTAATAACCCTGCGGACGACCTGAGAGACCCGAACCCGCGAACAGGGAAGAAGGGAAACCGGATCAACCCACAGCGCGTCCCCGGACACAGAAGCTGTGGCGCGCAAATAACGGCGAAGCGCCGCAACCGGACACAAAACATGATGCACCCCCGGCCTGACCAACCAAGCATCAACCACCCATGGACCCCTCCGGAACGCAGCAGTCTCATTCTTCGCCAGAAAAGAAGGAGACGGCTGCAAACGAACAAAACTATCACCACGACCAAAAGAGCAGAAACCCCTGCGCCGGAGGAGAGCATGAAGCTCCCCTACCTGACCCCCAGAGGCCAAAGCCAACAAGAAAAGTGCCTTGGAAAAACAATCCTGGACCGAAGGGGCCACAACGAAACGAGGAGATGAAAGGAAAGCGAGCACTCTGTCCAAAGACCAGGACGGCTCAGGCGACGCATGAGCAGGCCGGAGGTGAAACAATGTACGAGACAGCTTGCGAAACGGCGCAGACGTAACATCGATACCGAAAGCAAGCTGAAGCGGCTCCGCCAGCGCCGCACGATACGAAGCGACAGTGTTAGGCATAAGATGACGGTCCTGAAACAACCACGAGAGGAAGGACAAGACCACCCGAACAGACAAGGAGCTAACACGACGAAGACGCAAAAAGAAACGGAAGGACCGCCAGGAAACTTCATACTGCCGCCGAGAAGAAGCCCTCAGGTGGGACACCAACAAGGAGGCCACCTGAACACCATAGAGATGATGATAGACTCGAGTCAAAAAAACCATACGCGAAGACTCGAGGAGAAGATCGAACCAGCTACGTGACGTACCGGCCCGATCTGCTGAAAGAGGCGGAGCCGCGGGAAAACCCTCGGGTTCGGACACCGAGCAACCAGCGCCTGAAACCAAGGCTGGGCCGGCCACCAAGGGGCCAGAAGGACAACTCTCCCCCGGTAAGTCTCTAAGCGAGTCAGGACCTGGAGCAACAGCCGAACCGGGGGAAAGAGGTACAGGAACCCCCACCTCGACCAGTCTAGCCGAAAGGCATCGACCCCGACGGCCTCGCAATCGGGGAAGGGCGCCGCATAAACGGGAAGACGCCGCGAAGAGGTCCACTTCGGGGCGCCCGAACATCTGGCAAAGCCAACGGAAGGACTCGTCGTCGACCGTCCACTCCGTGGAGAGGGGAACGAAGCGAGACAGGGCGTCGGCCAAGACGTTGGACACGCCCCGTACGTGAACCGCCAGGAGAGCCAAACCCCGAGAACTCAGCAGACGAGTCACCCGAAGCGACCAACCCCAAAGAGACAAGGACCGCATCGAACCCCCGCGGTTCAGGCAATGAACCACCGGAGAGCAGTCCGAATGGAGCCGAATCGTCGATCCGCAGGCCACCCGAATCCTCCCCAGAGCAAACCACACTGCCGCGAACTCCCGCACCGTACTGTGAGCTCGACGGAAGGACGGATCCCAACGCCCCTGGCCGGCCTGGTGAGCACTGGTCACAAAACCCCAGCCGAGAGACGACGCATCCGTGTACACATCGAGCAAGGGCTCGGGTAGGCGCCAAGGCACTGAACCCCGAAAAACCCGAAGAGGAAGCCGGTGACGCAGCAACCGACGCAAGTCCCCCGGGGGTCGAACTCTGCGATCGCGAGAGAGGCGGAAGGGGGAACCCCGAAGGAACCAGAACAGCCGTCGAAGCCAAACCCGACCCGGCGGGTAGACCACCATCACGAAGTTCAGGCTCCCGCACAGCCCCTCGAGCAACCGCCGGGTGACCCGAGGGCCCTCCAGAAACAGACGAAGGCGGGACCGCAGTCGCAGGAGAGACTCCGGAGGGAGAGACAAGGAGGCGGTTCGAGAGTCCCACACGAGACCCAGCCAAGTCCGAACCTGAGAGGGAACCAGATGGGACTTCCTCCAGTTCACCAAGAACCCGAACCCGGCGAGCTGGGAAAGAACCAAATCCCTGGCTAGCAAGCAAGCTGACTGGCTGGGAGCCCAAACCAGCCAGTCGTCGAGGTAGGCCAACACCCGAACACCTAGGAGACGCAAACGAGCCACCACAACCCGTGTAAGGCGTGTGAACACGCGAGGTGCCAGGTTGAACCCGAACGGGAGACAACGAAAGCGGTAACTCAGACGCCCCACTACAAAACCGAGCCAGTCCCTGAACCGCGGATGAATCGGGACATGCCAATAAGCGTCCTGGAGGTCCAGGGACATCATCCAAGCTCCCGGCTCCAAGAGGAGCCGAACCTGAGACAGCGTAGTCATCCGAAAGGAGGGGCAATGAACCCAGGGGTTCAGACGGGACAAGTCCAGAATGAACCGCAGGTCCGCGCAGTCCCGTTTCGGAACCGGAAACAGACGGGAAACCCATCTGAGGGACGACGTCGTTTCGACGACCCCCAAGCGTACCCACTCCAAGACGACTCGACAGAGCGCAGGGGAAGAAGCCTGCCCTGCCAGCCCCGACCCCCCAAAGGGGGGAGGGGCCACCCAACGCCACCGCAGGCCGCGAGACACGACCCGAAAGGCCCACGAATCGTGGGACCAGGCGCGGGCGAACAGCGCAAGCCGCCCCCCCATCGCCCCGTCAAGGGGGCAAACCGCGAAAGGGCCGGCGACCCTTACGAGACCCAGAACCCCGCACAGCGCGAACACCGCGCCGACCAGACGAGGGAGGGTCCGCAGGAGGAGCCAACCCCAAACCTGACACCAGAGGCCTACCACGACGAGAGGAACCCCGAGCCCTGGCACGACCTTTCCGGGAAGACCCACCCCGGGACCCCCGAAAAACCAACAAGTCCGACATCGGACGACAAGCCGCCGACGCAGCCTGAATAAACTGCGCCACGGCCGACTCCCCAAACAGGAGAGGACAAAAAGGTGAAGAACGCCTAAGAGCCAGAGCCCAAGCAGATTCCACGGAGGAACCCAGCACCGCCTGCCGACACGCGAGACGGGAAGCATAGAACAGGGAAACCGCATCCCGCAAAATCGCCGTGAACAGCTTCAACAAGGCAGCCGACGAACGCGCAGCCGAGGACAAGGTGCCGGACCCCGGGACGGACCCAAGCGTCCCCACATCCTCCACGAGCCAATCCGAAGACAGCTCCAGGAGGGAAAAGAACCGCAAGGCCGAACACAAAAGGCCCCGAGCGCGCAAGTCCTCCGCCACGAGCGCCGCCGAAAGGGAGGGAACCTGCACATGGAGCTGAATAACGCCCACATCGCAGGGAAGGGCAGGGGCAAACAAGCACTCATTCAGGTACTCAAGTTCACCCCCCAGGAAAACCTGAAGCACCGTGGAAGCTTCCCGCCACTCCAGCGTGCGGGAACGACAGAAGGAATGCCAGGAATCCAGACCAAACAAGGGGCAGTCTGCTAGCCAGGACGACTCCGGAACCTCGTAACGGAGCCAGAAAGGGAACGAAGTCCCAAACCTGAACGTGGACGGATCCATTTCCGAGGCATAATCCGGGTCACGCAGGAGGTAAGCTGCAAAGGCCGCTCGCACCACACCAGGTTGGATGCGATAAGCCGAAAACCTCCGGAAGGACGGAACCGACGTACCCGGGGGAACACGGAACCGAACCCGGGGAGGGGCCGACACCAAATCCAACTCGTACGCAGAGGGGGGGAAAGAAAACCCCACTCCTTGTAACAATAAGCCCCGCTCAGTGGGAAGAAAAACCCAGGCGGGGTCCAGCGGGGCCCAAGGCCCCCAAGTCAGCCCCTCCCCAGCCTCGAGGTCCGTCACCACAGGACCCGAGGCCGAGTCCTCTCCCCAAGCCCCGACCCCACAAGACAAGGACGGAGCAGCCGGAAAAGCTGGAGGAAGGGGGGCCCACTGGTCAGACCCTGAAGCTTCGGCCGGGAGACAAGACTCGAATGCCTCTGCCGCCCCCCCGGAAGGGACAACCCCCGAAGCTGCCCGAGTCTCGAGATCAAGTAACCCCTGCTCCGACCCCGAAACCCTCAGACGCTTCGGGGCCGGAAGCAGGGGCGGGAGACCAGAACGAACAGAATGGGAAGGACGAGGAGGTGCGGACTGAACCAGGATCGAAGCGACCCCCACCCCCAAGTCCGGGTCTCGAAAAGCAAAGCGGGGCAGCCCCGGGGCATCCGGGGAAGCAACCAACCGAGCGCGTTGCAACAGACGAAACCTAGACTGCAACGCACGTGCCGCCTGTACCCGAATAGAATCATCAGAGGATTGGGTAAATTGAGTCACAAGCAAGCAGCAACACTCACAGGACTCAGGGTCGAAAGTATCACCGACCCAACAGGCAGCGTGGCAGAGGCAAAAACAATGAGGGTCACCCTGAGACAAGGGGACCGAGCAACCCTCAAACTCGCACACAGCGAGTGGGGACTCCGGGGTCACATCCATCGGACCCACGCGCCCCCTAGGGGATTCCCAGGGTCCTGAGCGTTTACTTTAAGAGGACTCGCGCTCAGGTAGTCCCAGGCAGGGTGCTGCAAACCGGCGCCCAAAACTACCAAGCAAACTTCTAAAGCTGAACCCCAGGGACGTGTACACTCACGGGGACCTAGCAGGGGGCGCCACCGAGGAGAACAGTGGAAGGGCAAAAACAAACTGAATAAAATGACAGAACCCCCCACCAGGCAAAAACAAAAAGAAAAACAAAACCCCGCAAGAGGACAGCGAACCCCAAGGAACAGAGCCGGCCGCGATGTCGGGAAATACAAGCTGAGCAGCACCCTGCGCCCCTACCAGTGCAAACTGCCTCTTACCTGCCGGTAACAAGGGAGAACAGAACACCCAAGAGCCCAACAGGCGGCCGAAAAACCGAAAGGTAAAACGGACCAGCAGAGGCAGACCCCGAGGAGCCTGTGGAAGGTGGCCCCAAGCCCCAAGGGCAGTACTTACAGGGCACCTAGGGAAGGCAGCCCTAGGCGCATGCAGCCCGAGTACTGAAGATAACTCCTGGCTCTCGCACCCACAAAACTAACACCACACGCAAAGCACAGTGCAGTAGCGACATCGGAGCCAGAGCACACGACCATCGCCTATAGCATCAGCCTCAAGAACTGAGGTGTGGGTAGCCGGCGCGGGGGGAGCTGCGCAGACAGCGGCGCGACAGTGTGTGACGTCACACTAGTTTGCTTGTTTTCGGTTGGGGAGTTCTATCCACTAGTTCGGTTTTAGGTAGCAATTTTAACCAGAATAGGGGTTTGTTTTGGGGCGCTTACCTTTCTGGGTGCCTGTTCCGGTCGATGGCAGACATAGAATGCTTCCAACTACACGGGGGCTTCTATAGGCCATTGCTCCCCTTGCCTCTCTGAGGGGGCCCGGTTCTGGCCGTGGTCCCCGGTAGGCCTAAGAACTCCATACACATGACTGATGCCAAAGTCTGACATTAGCATATCAGCCTGGGATAGCTCCGGGGAGCCGACGGGGCTCCCCCCAGAAAAAATGTGTATATATAGGGAAAATTATAATGATTTAGGGAATATATATATATACTTTATATATACTTTATATAAGTGATAAAGCCCTAATCTGGTCCCTGATCATCAAAACAACCTAAAGAGACAAAGAAAAGTTTGAAATCTCTGAAAAAATCACCCCCCCCCCAAATAAACAAATTCAAAGTCCCAAGTTCTGTCAGTTGTAGCTGATTTACTTATTGACCAATTACATTCTATCTTAACATGGTTAAGGACAGGTATGCACTCTACAGGGTGTAAAGATTACAACAAAATCAGATAATAAACAAAAGAGAAAACAAAAAATCTCTACTAAAAAAGAAAAAATTTGTGGACATTGGTGAAAGTAATAGATTAACATTGGGCAATGTATTTATATGATATATAACAAAATAGCACATAAAACAAATAATAATGAGTAAGTGTTATTATTATTGGAAATGCTATAAAGGCACCAGCTGCATATCTACTTTGTGGACACTTCTTACTACTATTCTTCTTCTTTGTACATTGGACAGGTGCTTGCATCTCTCTATTACTTTATTATCCATCAGTTCCCAGTTAATAGGAGCTGTTCTCCTGATCAACAAAACATTCTCCTTTTTAAAAAATTTGTCTAAAATCAATTTCTGAAAATATTTTGATGAAAGTTTCAAGACACAGAAGCCAATAAATTGGATATTTGTTTAACATTTTTAAGTAATTTTTACATAATTCAAATATTTTTCTCTTCCCTGCTCCTTTGCTGAGCAGTTTAAGGGTTATGCAACAAAAATCATGGAAATAGACAATATTTCAGTACATCCTGGACCATAACCAAGTGTTACCCAACTTAATAATGGTCCAGTACAGACCAAAAATTATCAGTTCCTTTACAGTCAGATTTGTGAGTTGGGTGTCTAATTTCCAGCCATGTTATTGTAACTTATGGTCTGTATTCAAACAGATACGAGGTCAGAGTAATTACCTAAGTGTAGTTACAGGATAAGAACTATGCTTGTGGTGTCCCGTCTTCTCAGCACTCTTTGTCATATAACGCTTTGAAATTACTGACGGTTTTGGCCTCCACCACCTTCTCACCTAACTTGTTCCAACCGTCTACCACCCTGTTTACAAAAGTGAATTTTCTTATATTTCTCCGGCAGCTTTGTTTCGTTAGTTTAAATCCATGACCTCTTGTTCTTGAAGTTCCGGGTCTTGGGAATTCTTCCCTATCAATTTTATCAATTCCTGTTACAATTTTGTACATAGTGATCATATCGCTTCTTTTTCTTCTATCTTCTAGTTCTTGCATATTTAATGCCTCTAACCTCTCCTCATAGCTCTTGTCCTTCAGTTCTGGGAGCCACTTAGTGGAAATGAAGAAATGGAAGACTATAGGAACAGTGGGTTTGACCCGAGGACCGTCCAGGCCCCGGTGTCGGGCCCCTAACTAAAAGTGTAAGGGTTTAAAAGTTTATATTTTAAACTTGACAGCATTTACCAGGCCGAGCCACCTGTTTTAAAGGTTAGAGGACCTGGTTGTAAATCACATTAAAAACTTGGAAACGTTTATCTCCACACATCTCCGTTTATCTCTTTTTATCTAGGTCACATATCGAGCAAAGACACTACATATTGCCCTAACTTTACCACTATTGCGTCTTGCAGCTAATGAGTTCAAATGGGCAAAGAATTTAAATGAAAAACAAAAGTTAAGATAATGAAAAAATAATTCAAATGATAATTTTAAAAAGATGTTCATTTAAAGTTTATTGTTGTGCAGGTGTAGCCAAAAAAGAGGAAAGCTATGGAAGAAAAGGAAATACTGTATTTTTATTTCTGCCATAGTGCTGCAACTGACAACTGAGGCCTAATGGTCTACTACTACAGCTCTGCCATCTGCATAATAAGTTTCTAATGATCTACTTCTTCATGTATAAGAGGAACACCCTCCACTGTATTATCATCAAACTACAAAGAAAGCAAACAAGTATATTGTTAAATTTGTTTTAAATTATAATAAAAATGCTTTCTTACATTAAATTGCCTTGGCCATATGAACTTATTAGCTCAGTGAATAGTTAAATACACACACTAGGTTTAAGACAGGTGCACTATGTATACTGCATATATCTGCAAGTAGAATTACACTTTGTCCAAATATAATTTGACCATATTTTATGAAAACAATTTAATTGACTAAGATTAAGAATAACTTCTGAAAAAGCAAATGCAGAATTAAAAAACTGTACTGTAAACTACTGTTTTGATAAATATTAGCATACTCACAGCCTGATTGGACTGGCGCCACCGACTGATGGCTCGCTGGTCATCTGGGTTCATTGCAACATCCTTTGCATTTTGCACCATTGGTGTTACAGCTTAAAAGTAAGAAAAAAGGAAATCATCATGTATTGAATACCAATCTATTTAAATTAAAATATCTGTGTCTATTCAAGGTTTGAGGCTAGAAACTTTGTGCTAGTTTCATTCGTTTTTTCCAAGGAACTGTTGTTGGGTAGATGCCCAACATGGGCGGATCGGGATTGGAATCAGGAAAAAGCGTGCCATGTAACACTGTCAAACTGACTATGAAAAATCTTGTAATATCATTATGATCATTTTTTTTTGAAGGGGGGGGGCTCTATACTGTAAAACTTTATGCCCAAAATTAAAAAAAAAACTCATCCATGATAGAGGTGGCCAACTCACAAGATTACATAACAGGCATGAAATAAAAAGAAAAAATAGGGAGTCGGCCCTTTCATTGCAAGAGTTAAATTATTTCAGTTAAGACCTGCATAACTTATTTTAACACCAAAGTTTTAATTACATACAAGTGTATTCACCCAACTACAAATTGGAGTTCAAAGTTAGTATAAAACTAAGATGACATCTTGGCATGATGCTCAGGCATTCCCTTTGACCTCATGACCCCTGTTAATACAAACATTTTGTATTTTATGCATCTTTTAGATTATATTCTTGCACTTCAAGCATTGTGCATTGTTTGCTTTATTATGGACTGTACTTGTGGCTGTAAAGTGGTTGGAGTATTTAGTAACAATATTTATGTATGCATCTTCTTGAGCAAAGCTGAAAAGGTAGACTTTTGAAGGCCTCTGGAAAGTAACCCTATATTATTCGCATTAACTTTGCTTTGCATGAGGTTTACATGTAGTGATAAAAAATTGCCATTCATATACAAGGCCCCACTAAACATTAGGCAGGCCAAGGAAGATCAATGAAAGCATCGTGAAATAACCTGGTGGTCATCGAGTGGCAATGGTGGCACTTGGAGAGAGTGAAAAGCCCCGATCACGTCCAACCACAATTAGACGTTTTTTCCAATATGTTGTACTGGCTTCTTGACAAACTCTTATTCAACAGGTGAACAATTTATATGATGCACTCTTTTTTCCTGAGCAGTAAAAGTTTTTAGTTTTTTAGTTAGTCTGAGCAGTAAAAGTTTGTAGAAGTAGTTGTAAACTGTTGCTTTGTAATCAAGTTCATTCTTTTCTCAGATAAAATTTATATTTTACTTCTACACATTTTCAAAATGATCACCATAATCTATAATACATTCTTAAGATATTTGTAAGTTTGCAAAAAACTGGCTTTAGTGGAAGGTTTCCTGGGATACCAATTTGAACTTTCTAAGACATTTATTGTTACCAAGTCATGTGCTTTTAAGATGTTTGCAGTTATGCTTATGATAGTTGTTCAGAAACAACTATTCCCTTCCAATGATTCAAGTTTTAATTGGTTATAGGAATGGCTACAACAAAGCTACTGCAAAATTTAAACAGGAACTTTCCTTTAATGATAAAACATAAGAGTGGCAAGCTGTATACATTAAATAACAAGACCATAAGGTATCACCCTACATGTGATAGCAACATAGTAAGAAATATGCAATAGAAGAGAGAAGTATTTCTTTGATAACAGTAGTAAAAGTTTAAGGTATCCAAGATACAGTAGTATGAGCCAAAACCACTGGAAATATCGTCTATCAGATATCTTTCAAAAAATAGGGCACCACAACCATTACTTTTACTGTGTAACTACAAATATACTGTAACATGTTCACACAAAACACTTAACACATTAGATTTAGAATTATGCTCACCTGCTTGAACTTGATCAGATGCAGCATTGACTTTAGCTACAAAGCTGGGATCTTCAGAGTTATCAGCTTCCTGTTTAGCCACCATAAGCACTCTATTCGCTAAGCGAGCAATTGCACTTGTGTTGTCTACCATGGCCTGGGGTTCATGATTCTGGATAGATGCCTCACAAGCCGCAGTATGTTTCTTGATTAAGTCCTCTGTGTATCAAAAATTTATTAATATACCTTACATACAATCAACAATTAGAGTGATGTGTTAGTAAATTAGACAAAAAATACATCGCTCATCCTTATCATCTCATTTGTTGTTTTCTAGTTTTCATCCTATTTCTCATTTTTATAGGATGAAGAGTCAACAACCTGGAGAAAAATAAGATACCAATATTGGGATAAAAGCTTGGAAGCACTTCATTCATACATCATATCTCCCACACTGATCAGGATCCTCAAACTCCAACAAAAATCCATAATTTTTATTTATTTATTTATGTATTATATATACAAGAGTTCTTACATTCTTGTACAGCCACAAGTATGCATAACGTTTCTGGCAAGTCCTTAATCCTATGTTCCCCAGAATATGACCCCACCAATTGTTTAACAACCAGGTACCCATTTTACTGTTGGATAAACAGAGGCTACAGTTAAGGATTGACGCCCAGTAAATCCTTCCCGGCCAGGATACGAATCCAGGACAAAGTGCCCGTGAAATGCCAGGCGAGTATCTTAACCACTACACAACAGGGATTGTACAATAGTAACAATAGTAACCAACAGCTTCATACAATGTTACATACAGTGCTTCCCAAAATTATCTATACACACTTTACAATGGGCTATTTTACTACAGATTTTGGCAATTAAGCGAAACACTCACAAGGCCACTCTTCCCACTCTCTCTCTCACATGCACACCATACAACCTGTCCTCACACAACTCATCATATAATGACAAAAATACCCAATGTCAAAGTCAGATGTACTAAAAATTCAGCCCGTTCTCCTTAACACTCTCATTGTCAAACTTTTCCACAAAACTGCCCAAACCTAACCTACCCGAGGATCCATGAACAGAAAGCTGGACATCACATCAATTTTGCAAGCCGCTACTGTTTTTAGTACACGAGTTTTTAGACTTGGAGAAATTATGATGTACATCAAAATCCAATGTACTATTCAGAAGAATGGGTTGTAAAAATCATAAGTGACTCACAAAACTGATGTGGTCCCATCAAGATTGACGTGGGTCTTCAATTATGTTAGGTTTGGGCAATTTAGTACGTTTTAGTGACGTTGTGAATGCTCAAGAGGACAGACTGCCCCCATAACTGCATCATATTGGCACCATTTTTTTTCTACCTTCATATTCACTGAATATACTATTATCTTCACTATTCACATCCCTTCCTTCAATATGAGCAAGCATCTCAATATTCTCTCCTCAAACAAAAAAGTATTAACTTTTCCACTTCATGTCTTTTCATGATATCTTCATTCTTTACATAATCTACCCTTTTAACGCCCACAAATGCATCCAAGATTATTCATTTTTAGTAATCTTATTTGTTATTTTTGGTTGTAATCATGCCACACCCGCAGGGTAGATCCTCCTAACTTATTGTGGTAGGAGCAAATACTACAACTCCATGCAGTCCTCTAGCCACATTTCTATCTTACTAATCCAAAGTGGGCCTTTCATTATAAAAGGTCATTTTACAACCCTGGACCCAAATATATAAATGATTGGTCACTTCTGGGACACCATAATTTCTAAGATGTTTGTTCAAAAATTATTCAATTGTTTGAATTTCCTTCTATTAACTATTAATACTTTTACTTCTGTCTATATTCATTTTACCTCTCGGACAGCAATAAAAATTTCAACAAACCAATATAAATAAAATTGCTGCAAGAAAAACTGAATCTTCTGCATACATTAAATTACATGCACAGTACCACATTCATTATCATTATCATGCATCTTATAATGAAGATGTGATGTCTAAATTTTACCCTTCAGGCATCCGTTCCTCAACCTTCATTTTCAGATTTATTCCTTATGTTGGGAGTTAGGCCCTTGGCCACATACTGTAATCAAGTAGGTTATTCAATGACATGCTTTTTCAAGTACATGATCTACTAATTAATTTACATTCAGGTCCCCAATTATGATGGTACAGTGAGAGTCTGTAGAGTGTAGTCAATGTAGAGTGAGAGTCAATGTGTCTCAGTTTGCCACAGCTGACTAAGTGGCACATTACAGAGCAACTGCAAGTGCTCTAAGTCAGGAAATCTACCCTTGTGTGCTGTGTGCTCTCTGTGCACAGAGGTGGGTGCTCAAAGCCCATCTCCCTTAGTACTGAACTAAAACCTAGCTTGTCTGATATCTTTTGAGAGGCCATGATGCTAGCAGATAATGATGCCACGAGGGCCAATGTGTTTAGTCAATGAGATGGAGCAAGCATTGTATTTAAATTAAGTTGCTCCAGAGACAAAAACTAGAACTGACTAGAACATGCTTGCCGCACCAAGAAAGGTATTCTTGCCCAGAACACCATTCATACAAGACTTGTGCTCTTTTGCTTCTTGGCCAAAAAATAGAAACATTGTTCTTGAGCTGTCAAGTTAACTACAGCATCCTTATTTGTCGTCAGTATCTTGTAAATAACTGGAATCCCACTGTGTAATTTTTTTTTCAAACTGAGTGAAGTGATTGCAAGATACACCACGAGGTACCTGCAGAAGCAAGAGGACTGAGAAAGTGTACCACTGTGATCATGTTTGTGTCTTAGTCACTTGTATAGTTGAGATACAGTAGAAAAGTGTGTAAACCATCACAGTGCAATCATAGGTGATCTAAGGCTGAAGTGCCTTAAACACAGGTTAGGAGGAACAATCAAGACAGTAACCACCACTTTATATACCTCACTCAAACCATTTTAACCTTTATTCAAACCGATGTGAATCGGGACCTGGTGAAGCCAGCCGATAAGGACCGCCCCACAGAGAACCTTTATTCGACCAAGTACATCACAGACCTGTCTGCTTGCTCTTGTGGTTGCTAGACTCCGATTGGCTTTCGTTAACACTGTTAACCACTGTAAAGTGGTGATGTTGCATGCAATTGCAGACTTTAGAGAAAACCCAACTTCCACAGGTACACAGGAGCTGACAGTCAAGGAACACTGTCAACCATCCTACAATGCCCAGGGGTTAGAACCCAGGTCATTCTCGTTTGCAAAATGAGTCGGAAGGGGAACTATTCACCACATTACAGGGTGCTATATTACCAGATTTTGTCTAGCAATATTTGTGTATCATGATATTATTCTTCCATGCCTTTGTAAGTTCCTGATTATTCCCAATACCTAACTGGTTTCTCAATTTAATCATTACATTTCAATAATTCATAAACTAATATATTTGGTGTACCTGATGCCTTGATGAATGCTGCAGACTCTGTAGCCTCATCAGCTAAGTCTCTCACTTTTTGAATGCTCTCTGCATACTGTCGACGTAAATTCTCAAAATGTTCATCTGCTGCTTTGTTCGTTGGGTATGTCATGCGAATGCGACCAGCAGCCACCAACTGAGGCGTTAGACTTTCAACCTAAGAAAAAAATAGCCATTAAAAGAGAAAATGTCATGGGGATTCGAAGCAGTGATGCTCACCGTCATACAAACAATAAACTTGTAACTTATGTTCTCATTTGATGTTGTTTTGCCTGACAGCTAAGGAAAATTTATATAATAAATCTTAGACTAACAGATGGATATAAGCGCACACATTTTGGCACCAAAATGTTTGCCAGTGATTGTTTAACTGTATACCATGAACACGTTGTCTAAAAAATATACAGTAGAGCAAGCAAATATTACAGTCCCAAAATGTGTAGAGTTAAGCAAATCCATTTGTGTATTTGTTTGCTTTGAATTTGTACTATAATTTTTCATTAATTATCTGGCCATATAACACTAAACGGCAATGTAAATTGATATGCATAAAAAAACATAATATTGCTGGGAAAATACAGGCAATTTTCACTTGCCTTTTCTTCTGAAGACTTAAAACCCTCTGGATGATATGAAACTGTATATTGTACTGTGCATTATATATACTGCAATACAGCAAGACATTAGGGTGCCTCAGACAGCAGAGGCTAGGAAGCCAAGTGTTGAAAAGATCCCTAAAAATCTGAAAGAATGGCCAAAAGCAGAATACAACCCACCCAATTACTAGCTCCAGACGGAAAATCAAAAGTATCGAGAAATAAAGTCTCAACTTTAGCCTACAGACATCAGGAAATAACTGCAAATAAATAAGAACACATCCAATTTTGAGCTACCACACTAAGCACCAGCACAAGTGAAGATCGGACAAGATCAATATGTCCGATCAATTTCAAGATCAATTTCACCCTCTTATGTGTGACCACCTGGAGCTAGTCCAGATGGACTGGCTTGTCTAGGTGGACTTTTCATAAGAGGGTGAAAAAAGGCCTTACCCCCAGCAAGAAATGAACCGGAGACCCGAAGGATGTGTGGGGATCATAAAGCACCTTGGGAAAAATATACACATCCAAGTCAAACTATAAACCAGGAATGGATACCTTACCATATCCATCATTAAAGTCAAAACATGAAAAACCTGCACGAAAAGACATTGCACGACAGACCCAGAAAGTAAGTTAGGTTACAAAGAGATGTGCACATGGCATATGTTAACCTAAATCTGTACAAGAACAATGAGGAAGAGCAATTGCAGCCCAAAAATACATTTGTCCTGTATTTCCAAAATTCCAAAATCCTCCTCATATCATCCAGGATCTGTTCCAAATTTTAAAAAGGAATTTTTTTTTTAGACATCAGAATTTTTAAAAAATATCTAAAAATTTTAGTGGACCATATAATTTTTTTAATTATGCTTAATTACTTCCTGTGACTAACTATTTCTCTTAATGCTGCATTCATCAATGCAAGTTGTTAAAATTCTGATCCAAACAATAATGTATTACATGAATTTACTTAAGGGCCACTAATACTAGTGGCCTCAACGAAAACGGGAAACCAGCAGCTTATCAAAGGTCCCCCATTTTTTATCTTTTGATCAAAAGTGTGGTAGCTCGCTGATCTTTTCTATCTGTATTTTAAAACCCAGCAGAGTTTCGGCATTTACAGATTTGGCAGGAAGGCAGTTCCACGGGTTTACAACCCTATGGGTGAAAAAGCAGCTCCTGTTTTCTGTCCTACGTTGTGGTTTGTTGAGCTTGAACCCCATTACTCTTTGTTCGTGTTATATCTGACCTTCTGAAGAAACTGTCCAGATTGATATCCTCCAAATTGTTTAATATTTTGAAGGTTTCTATGAGATCTGCCCTGTCATGCCTGGTCTGCAGTGTTAGACCAGTGGCCCTCAACCCATCCTGATACGAGAGATGACTAAGCTCTGGTATGATTTTTGTTGCCCAGTGTTGCACCTTCTCCAGAGCAGCTATGTCTTTCTGAAGATGAGGTCTCCATGCCTGGATGCATTAATCCAGGTGGGGGTGCACCAGAGACCTATACAATTGAACTTTTACTTTCTTTTCCTTGAAGGTAAAAGTACGCTTGATTATTCCCAGGGTTTGGTTTGTTTCTTTTACTGCTGCTCCCACTTGTTTTGCAACTTTTAGTGAATGATGGATTCTGACTCTAAGGTCTTTTTCATCTACAAGTATCTGTTGTAAGGTAGTGCTGTCAATTTGGTAGTTGTGACGTGGATTGTTATGCCCCACATGCAAGATCCCATATGTAGAATAATTTTCCTCCATGTCAAGTTGTTTGAAATTCATCATTGAGGTTCTTGTATAATATTATATGCAATACTGTAGTTCTAAAAGTTTTGAATATTTGTCAAATCACTTCTTATCTAACTGATTGGATTTGAGTAAGTGACCAAGACTTCAAATATTTATTTCAGGCCAAACTATTAAATTAAAATACACAACTCAGCGAAGAAGTTGTATTTTATATATTTAATTACTTTTTAAGGAGAGCCTTGGGTTTCGCATACCAGGGGTAAAAAGTCATTTGCGTGCCAAGTTTGGCAAGTGTGCCAAGGGTTGCCCACTCCAGGGAGCCGGTCGGCCGAGCAGACAGCACACTGAACTTGTGATCCTGTGGTCCTGGGTTCGATCCCAGGCGCCGGCGAGAAACAATGGGCAAAAGTTTCTTTCACCCTATGCCCCTGTTACCTAGCAGTAAAAATAGGTACTTTCACCTGGGTGTTAGTCAGCTGTCACGGGCTGTTTCCTGGGGGTGGAGGCCTGGTCGAGGACCGGACCGCGGGGACACTAAAGCCCCAAAAACATCTCAAGATAACCTCCTGCTCTAGTGCAAGACGGATAACCTCAAGATAACCTCCTGCTCTAGTGCAAGACGTTTTTCACAATCCACACTCGACTGCCCTCTAGTTCAGCAGAGTTCACTATTCTATCAAAGAGTGGGTGATCCAGAGAAAGAGGAGCATAGAGTGGAAGAGTACAATACACGATAGATCCCTGGAGGGAACACACTAAAAAAAACTCAAATAGCTAAAATATTGCTTACATCATAATGTGTACAAAAATGTCTGCAGATCAGCTTACATATTCAAAGAGATGAACTGCATTTTAGGATGAACACTTGTTCAGACAATTTTTGTTAAAAAAAAAAAGTATAGCTAGAAAATTTATACCACAAATATTAAGTTTGTAAAAGCCTACCTGTCCAGCAGAGGCTAGAAGAGCTTCTGTTAGTTTTTTATTGCCACCCGAGCTACCAGCAGCAACCATTAGGGCTGTTTTTGCAGCTCGGTTGCTGAAGTGTGCAAGATTGGCAGCACGGTTATCAAAAGCTTGTTCACGGCCCGGGGTACCTAGAAAAGATGCACAAAATAAAATAAACCATATTTTCTAAACAAGAAATATTGCTTACAGAATAGGAATAGTTCACAGACAAAGAATTGCATAAGCAATTAAGTCAGAAAATTTTATATATCAATTAAGTACAGCAAAGAAAATTTTAAACAATATATTTTTTCAGAATTTAGCAGGGGCTCTGAATATTCTTTTTTAGTAATTCCATAATGAAATTAATTAAAAAATTAAATAGTACAGTAATTACCAAATATGAAAAATAAATATATTTTTATCTTCATAATATGATAATGTATTCAGTCAACAAATATTTAATGTAAACAACTACCTTACTCCAAGTCTAGCATCTCATCCCACTATATGAACCAATTCTGAAGTAACTACGTGTGAACTGTTCCACTAACGCACTATTTCAGTTGTTTATCAAGGAAAATGTAATCAATAATGGCTAATAAGAGAAAGTGTGTTGGTGGTGCACCAGAATCTATGCATTACTTCCTCTTACCATCACCACCTCTCATAATTAGATCTTTATGCTCTTCAAAAAGTATTAAACCAAACATGCAGGTCATTTTTATCATTCAAGGTCAATAAAATAAATTATTATTTGCTATAAATATAAAACCTTGAATTGTATGTGTTGATTTTTGGAGTCTTATGAATGCATCCCACATTTAAAGCACTGCACCTTTGGGAAACCTGGTTTCAAGTTACTAGCTCCCAATTTCTGATAAGTTTTTTTTTTCCAGAATGCATTCAGTTCCTAAGAAGGGAACTGCTTGTATGTATGTATAGAAGATATGCTGTATTGTACCTTAAGTGTGTGACCACTAAGTGTTGCATGATTAGAATTCACTTTAAACACAGCACAGGGAAGTATTTCTCTTCTTGTGAAGTCAAAAAAATAAAAAAAAAACTATGTAACAAGACATGTTGTTGCCTGCAATATGAGAACTAAGCTAGGAAAACAGGTTAAGGGAGATGAAGCAAACAACTTTATAGACAAGAAGGACAATGGAAAACATTTACATGTACAAAATTATAGGAAAACAGACAAGTGGAGTTTGCTTTCAGTATTGCCCTCAAGCTCATTCCACTTATTTACTGCAATACTAATGCAATGAATAAACACACTACCAGTACTTCCTAACATCCATCTGATTTATCCATATTTCCAGTTTCTGACTGTCCCTTTATCCTATTCCCTGTTTGTCCAAGTTCATTTTGCCCATACAGCATACCTGATTTTTTTTTAACACTGATCAAGTCTCGTCTAGTTCTTCTACAGAATATTCCGGTTATAAAAGGCACAGCTTACTAAACCTAGCTAATGGTAAGCTCTCAATTCTTCCTTTATAAGCTGTTGAGTCTATACTGTTGTGTATACTCAAGTACTGGCATTACATAATTGTACAATGTTTCAAATTCGTAATTGAGATTCCTGAGGGTTGTTAACTTCCATAACAGCCTCCTATATGGCTCCTAAGTTACTTTACTTGCATGTGTTTCTGATGATATTACTTAGTAAGGAACAAGGAGAAAGCACTAGTGGAGGCTAATTCCATTCACAGCCTCAAATATAGGTATGATAAAGCAAGAGAAATGAGATTATTGCATTCACAAATAATACCCCAAAAGCCAGGTCCCAAGAACTAGAGCTTACCCCTATAAAATAAGCAGGTAAGTACAATTCTGAAAACTGGAACATGCTGGAGGAATGAGAGAGACTTCTGACATGGATGAAAAATTGTCTGACAGACAGATGAGGGCTGTAGTCAGAGAATGTATCTGACTGGAGGAGTATTACTAGCAAAGTACCACACGGCTCAGTTCTTGAACCAATAATGTTCATCGTCTACATAAACGATCTACCAGATGGAATACAGAATTGTATGAACATGTTTGCGGATGATGCCAAGATACTGGGAAAGATAGGAGATGCAGATGATCTTTATGGCCTTCAAATTGAGCTAGATAAAATAAGTGCTTGGATTGTCAAGTGGCAAATGGAATTCAATGTGAATAAATGCCATGTTCTGGAACATGAAATTGGAGAAAATAGACCACACACAACTTACAAATTATGTGGAAAGGAATTGAAGAATTAATGAATTAAAGTAATGTTCTAATAAAGAACAAGACCTAGGGCAATTTTGGATAGTAAGCTATCGCCAGAGGAACACACAAAGAACATTGTGAGAGGAGCATATGTGTAGCTTTCCAACTTCAGACTTGCTTTTAATTATATGGATGGTGAAATACTAAAGAAACTGTTCGTGACTTTCGTGAGACCAAAATTGGAATATGCAGCAGTTGTACAGTGCCAAATCTCAAGAAGCACAAACTGGAAAAGGTGCAAAGCATGCTACAAAATGGCTTCCGGAACTGAAAAACAAGAGTTACGAGGAGAGACTAGAAGCGTTAAACATGCCAAAACTAGAAGATAGGAGAAAAAGAGGTGATATAATCACCACTTACAAAAGACTAATACAAGTCTACCAGACTGGCAGAGGAATTCTTGAAACCAGCAACTTCAAGAACAAGAGGACACAGATTCCAGCTAGGAAACAAAGGTACTGTACTGAAAAAACATTAGAAAGTTTCCTTTTGCAAACAGAGTGGTAGACGGTTACAACAAGCTAAGTGAGAAGATGGTTGAGGCCAAAACCGTCAGTATTTTCAAAGCATTATACAACAAAGAGTACTGGGAAGATGGGAAACCACGAGCATAGCTGTTATCCTGTAACTACTTACATAATTACATAACATCACCTTTGATGCACACAATAAGCTATACTTACCCTCTGGTGCAAGAACAGCATCGGTGAATTGTTTGAGTGGTGTAGTAATGTCGACAAAATCCTCTACAACCCGATCCACAACGGCAGTTTGGATTTTGTCCTTCAGCTCTTGCAGCTTTGTTGAAAGGGCTCTGGAATGATGTAATCAGTTAAAATAAATTATAAAATTATCAATAAAATTATACTATTTATAAAAATAAAATTATTTATCTATAACTATGATATCTTACTCTCCCAGGACATCCCCATCGTGGGGGTTTCTCAAGATTTCTCTATCACCACAAAATCTTACTTTTTCAAATATTGTTTCATTCTTCGTTTCCAAGATACTGGTTGTCTACATCTAGCATATGATTCCTTTATTCCCCCCCCCCCTTTATACACCCTTGTTAAATTAGTCACAGATATCCTAACATTCTTACCACTGTAGTGCCTTCCACCTCACCCCACCACATTCATTCTCACACCCCCCTTTCCCTTACACAACTTCACTCATATTTCCTCATTACTATTCCTATTTGACAAAGCAGCTACGTTTCTATATAAAAAAAAAAAAAAAAAAAAAAAAATTGTTGTTCACTTCTTGAACTCTTATCTTGAACCTTTTCATAGCAAACTTAACTGGCATATCAGGACTCAAGAGTAATATCAGTTTTCTCTTAACTCCCATACAAACATTCCTATTATTATACTACAGTATTTGCCTCTACCACCACTCTGTTCACACATTCCACCTTTCATACTCCCTTTTTTATTTAATATTAATTCCAAGTACACAGTACTGTATTTATAGCTTACTACTGCTTTCAATTTCTCTTCCCAATTTTCACAATGCAATCCAAATCACTGTCTTTTAAAATCTACTATCCAAATATTCGAGATTACTTTAAACTTGGACCGATGAGGTGTGTAATCGAGCTGGGCAGGAACGTCAACTGCTCACAGCTGCTATCAATAAGGTAAAATGTCTAGAGCAAAAGGCACAAGATCTTCATGAGACCTTGCCAGAAAACAGTAGGTTATGTCTGATCTCTACCTGGTGGTGCAGGGAAATCAGAGTTTATCAAATTTATTGATAGGGCAGAAAATTCATTTGTGGGACCAATATGGTAAAAGTTTACAAGTCTTTCACAAGACTTGATAATGGTCCAGGGAAGACTGAAACGTCGTCGTTTCTCCAACTTTCGAGTTGTGGTTTGGTCATCATTTCTTCAGCCACGTTATTGTGACTCATCGTCTGCATAGTGACAGGTTTGGAAGCAGGCACATGAGTAAGGATGCATACAAGCTGGACTCGTGGGTAACCAATGCAGTCATCAGGTGGTTTGTTGACATTCGTCAAATTACAACTCGCCTTATTTTTATCACCTTTAATCAACGTAAGCTTGTTTTGCTTCACATGTATTTCCTGGGCACTTTACTCTGATTGGGTCTCTCTCTGATCCCCATGCTCTCCTCGTCTCTATGAGCACACCAAATTCTGGTCCTACTGTTATGTGGGCCTCTTCATGTCCAGAGGCCAAGTAGTTTTTGTGGCTGTCTCTGTGATACCAGAGCTAATGCACAGTAGAGCTACAGACAACCATCCGAGATATATTTATCAGAATACCAGTACAGACTGACAACCTGCTTCCTAACTACTCAATGAAGCTGAGCCTCTTGTCTTAAAGGTTCAAATAATTAAAAGCAATTTTAATATGTTTAACTGCTAATTAATTATTCAATTCTTATTGGATAGTATTACTCAAATATTTTAGTCAACCGTCATCAAAATTTCCATAATTCATTATACTATACCCTATATGTATACCTGGCCACAGCCTGAGCCTGTGGAGTGTCGCCATGGCCACGTCTGCACATTTCAGAGAGTTGTTGAGAAAGACTATCGACGTTCTCACAGAGCGCCAAGATTCCTGTTTGTGCCGGCCCTGTTAGTCCAGCTGCCACCTGTCACAAATGATCAAATCAGAATAAATGTGCAAAATTAAATGCAAAGCATAATTTTTTTCCATCAGTTACTATCTTGCTACTCTCAAGTACTGTACTAACAATTATAATACAAATATATTCTGGCAAAACATCTTCAAGCATGTGACCATTTACTTAAAACTAAAATGTGAAAGAAGAGGTTGCCTCTGAAAGTACGGTAAGAGCTCGGTAATTTGGAATTTCAGTAACCTTAATCTCCTAGCAATCCAAATGAATTCAATTTTTTTTTTTTTTTACCTTTAACCCTTTTAGAGCAGCTTCCGATGAAGCTGCTCACGCAAAAACCAGACTAGTGAAAATAACGCCATTTAAAAATGGTACAAGATTAGATTAATGATTTCTTAGTTATCTTCTGTAATTATGATTACTACAACTTAATGGTAGAATGCTTCTGTATTCCACAAAATTTAAAAAATGGTTTAATAATGATTAAAATCAGAAAACTAAGCCATTTCAATTCAGTTAAATAAAAATTAAATGACACTTACCCTTTTGCCTTCTTCTACAATAAGTGCAATAGCCTGTTGCCCAAGTCCTTTATCATCAAGTGAAGGGTTGTTCAGCCAGCGCTGAGCCTGTTCCAATCGTCCAGCGACTGTGTGGGCAGGCTGTTGTACACCACTTCTTTCCACATTGTTTACTGCTCGGGATATTGTTCCACTCAACTCGTTCAGCTTCTCGCCAATGCTTCGTGACAAGCTTTGGCCCTGTTGATCATAGAATATACAAGACTCAATTGCTTACACAGTACTTGTACTAAAAGTTAAGCTACAAATAAAATATTAAAAATTATTTTAAAATATAAATTACACCAAATCACACCTTTTCCTAACATAATAGCCTACAATACTATAGTAATAAACATAAAACTCGCTCTACATTATAACACCTATTGGTTCCTATCCTACAGAACAATTTTTTAAATCTCCCATACTGTATTCCATCCAACTATCAGTCTTCTCTAGATTCATATACTTTGATCATTACAACAAATATACAATTCAATTTATTATGCCCCGTCAACATTTTCTACAGTCAACACCCTATTTTGCAATCAATTCCCTCACCATTAAATTATTTCCCAATAATTTAAGCAATCATTCTTCTTAACCTTATTTTTAAGGGTGTTATATGTCCATTCTTGTTTAGCCATCTGGTACTTTTTTTAATTTTCATTCATTCAAGTACAGTACATTTTGTGAAACCCATCATAACTGCAACCGACAACTTTTAACATTTTTGGTTATACCATTTGCTCCTGGAAATTAGATGGTGTTTACATAACTACAGACTCTATAGTCTGTAGTCTAACTACAGACTTACATAACTAGCTCTCGACTCTTGAAATTCTTGGGATTGGTATATCCAGTAACCCATTACTTGTTGAAGGAAGACTCATGTGTCTTCCCCCCCCCCCTTCCCCCACCTTCCCTCATTCATTTATTATTTACTATCTGTTTTCTCCTTATTCATTTATTATTTACTACCCATTTTTCCTTCTCATTCATTTATTATTTAAAATCTGTTTTCCCCCCCTCATTCATTTTTTTATTTACTATACACACACAAGAAGGTACATTGGGTTTATGAGAGTACATAGCATTGATGTTTTTACATTCTTGTAAAGCCACTAACATGCATAGCATTTTGGCCAGGTCCTTATTCTAACTGATAATTTTAAGTAGGTAATTTGTAGCAAAATTGAAAAAAGTTAACAGGTATATTTTAAGAAAATTTGACGAAAGTTAGTAGGTACATTTTAGTCAAATTTGAGGATTATCAACAAGTACATTGTAGCATAATTTGAGGCTTATTTCTAGGAACATTGTAGTAAAATTTGCCTTCAATGTAACAACCATGATATAAGATGATGGCAGTGATTACAACGGTGAAGTTATATGGCTTAGGCACATATTTTGGGGTAGCTCATGATACAGTGCGAGTGTGAAGCACTACGTAGAAAACTATGAGGATGAAATTAGGGACTTTTTGGTTTTATTTTTGAATAATGGGTAGGTTGGACAGCATTTTAATTTGTTAGGAAGTGAGTTTCATAGACTAGGTTTCTTTATTTGCATAGTGTGTTTACACGGATTAAGTTTGACTCTGGGGATATCAAAGATATTTATATCTGGTGTGGTGATTATGGGTTCTATTACATCTGTCATGGAAGAGTTTCAGTTCAGGATTTGCAGCTAGGAACAAGATTTTGTACATGTAAATGCCACAAGTGAATGTGTGGAGTGAGTTTATGTTTATCATGTTGAGGGATTTAAACAGGGGGGCTGAGTGTTGTCTGAAAGCAGAGTTTGTTATTGTTCTGATAGCAGATTTGTGCTGCTGAAGATGGGCTTGAGGTAGTTTGCAGTGGTTGAACCCTATGCACAGATACCATATGTAAGATACGGAGAGATCAGTACGTAGCATAGTGAGAGGAAATAGACTATTTGCTTTAGCCTGACTCATCTCCTTCCTTAGTTTCAGTCATTAAATTTATCAAAATTTTCGTTATTTTTCTTACCTTCGAAGGCTGCTTTTATTCCTTCATTTTACCACATGCAGCTACTTTTATACCACTTTTTATTATCACATACAATCTCTACTCTCACAATATTATACTTTCTTTAAAAACTGTAATAACATACTCCCCAGATTCTCAGCTTGTTTCAAGACAATACTTCTAATCTTTTGCTATAGTTTCCTTTGGGATACAGCTGAATAATTATTAATTTTGACTATGATTAAAGTTTTAAATTACAAATGATGGTTTATGTATAAATTCAGCTCTAATATAAAGTATTCAGGTATCCAGAGAGAAAGTTACAACATGCCTAAAGTCAACCATCCTACCCAACCATCCTACATCATATCTACCATGAAATTAAAGGAAAGTGATGATGTTTTGGTTCATCTTGGACACTTATCAAGTCATAACTGAGATAAAGGGGGAATTAAATTAGCTTATTTCTCAGTTTTTACTTGATAAGAGTCCAGGATGTATTTTCCTTTTATTTTAGATGGTTTCCCATAGTCAGTAATAGGAAGGCTCTTAAGCTTATTGTAGGTTCCATACATCAACTACTGACCTTCCTCAAGGATGCAACCTACAACAGTTGCCTAACTCCGAGGTACCTATTTACTCATAAGTGAACAGAACATCAAGTCGAAGGAAACATACCCAACAATCTGTCCTGCTCAGGGATCGGACCCAAGATCCTTGGTTGTGAGTCGAGTATGTAGACCAGTGAGGCACACTTATAAAAGGGGATGGATTATTTAGGAATTGCTTACCAAGTACTCAATGGAATAGCCTTTCACGTGTATGGTATTTTAATAATTTTTATGTGCTTTCACAGCAAATACAAATCCACCAAATAACACAATACACTTCAATCATTACCAAGATGTCATAATGTACCTGTGGTGTGGCTCCTTTGCCATCCTGTCGCAGTTCACACAGAGCATCAGTCATTGAAGAAATATCCCCTGACAACTTTCGGATGGAATCACGATCTGGAGGTAGCGATCTCTCTGCAACCTTTCCAGCCTGGGACAATATCTGACGAAGAGATTTTTCTCCAATGCCACCACGCAGAGCCGTCGGATCCTGTTCCAAAATACAAAGAGCCATTGCTAACTTTAAAAATAATCTCTCACATAAAAAAATTATCTATACATATACAGTACTGTACTGTATTTATCTATGTATTTTATTATGATTTTATTTTAATATATATATGAAATGATCATTGACACATAAAAAATGTTGAATAAACCACAAATGAAAGGGCAAAACAGCTTGTGGTTTATTTGGCATGTGTGCACACACACACTCAATGCATGCTGGATAAACCACACTTGACATGTGAAAATATTCCTTAAGAGCTTTCAACCCCATTTAACTGGACCATCATCATTTCTTGCTACTGATGACGACCCAGTTAAATTGGGTTGAAAGATATATAGCAATATTTTCCCATTTCATAAGTGGCTTATTCGGCGAGTAGACAGAATCCAAAATTCACTTATTAAATAAACAAATTTTAAAATTAACTTAATAAAAACCTAACATTCTTTCAAAATATAAAATATTGTACAGTATATTCTGCATTGAATTGAAATTCAAGGGTTCTTCTAATCTTCTATTTACCTGGAGCCAGTCATGTGCAGCTTGAGCCTTGCCATCAATAGCATTGAGAGCCTTTTTCATAACGGTCAGGTTGTCGGCATCCCACTCTTCCTCATCGTATGTCGTCAGTTGCAAAACGCGGATGATCTCATTAATCTCATCCGTCATTCTCCCTAGGTTAACAAATTTACATTGAAAACAATCCCTATTTGGTTTATTGTTGAGGATATACAGTATTATTTTGCTTCTACAATAACACTTTTCTCTTATACTGTACTATATTTCCTAAGTAACACCTTTGAAAAAATGAACTTGCTATAAAAGCCCCCCCAAGAGAATCCTATATAGTGCTATACAGTATCTGGTATAAAGGCATCTAACACCCAAATTTATCCAATAACTGGACTAGCTAATTTGGGTACAGTTTGTGATTGGGAACCTAGCTTGGTCTACTCAACTGTCATTGTTCAGGAAAAGACAAATGTACATCTTGATGGCCAACATATGATTGTTCTCCCTCAAAGAAGCAAGAGTGACTTTTCCAATCACAGGTCAAATGGTTTGCCATAGTTACCCCAGATGAGAACTAATCAGAACTCAGAATAGGCCATAAGCTCATTCTTACTAGGGAAGGCTGCAGTACTGAGTACACAACTCCATGCAGTACAGTGGTACCTCGGAATGCGATTGTCCCTGTATGCGAGGTTTTCGGAAGGCGAGCAGTATTTACTCCAAAAATTTGTCTCGGAAGGCGATGGTTACTTCGGGACGCGAGTTTGTTGATACGCGTACAGGCCGACCTAGCGCGTGGTGGTTCGGCGATCGTCGTCCCTCTGCCCCGCTGCCCCTCAGTTTACCATTGTCTCGCGCTCAGTGACTACCCCCACATCAATAATTCTCGCGGATTTTCAGTGTTTTGTTGGATTTTTGGTGATTTGTCTATACAATTTGTTATTATATATCTCACCATGGGTCCCAAGAAAGCCAGTGGTAAGGATAACGGCCAGAAAGCTCATGTGAGGATGACAATAGAGGAGAAACAAGAGATCATTCGGAAGCATGAGAACGGTACACGTGTTGTTGAACTTTGTAGGCAGTACAACAAAGCCACATCAACAATATGCACTATACTTAAGAAAAATAAGATTATGGGTGCTAATGTGGCAAAAGGAATAAGAACATTAACGGCACAAAGACCACAAATACTTGAAGAAGTGGAAAAGTTGTTATTAATTTGGATACACGACAAGGAGTTGAGGGGTGATAGTGTTTCGGAGGCCATTATTTGTGAGAAAGCCAGGGTGTTGCACGAAGACCTTCTAAAGAAGACCCCTGCAACGAGTGATGCAGATAAGAAAGAGTTTAAGGCAAGCAGGGGCTGGTTTGAAAAATTTAGAAAGAGAAGTGGTATCCATAGTGTTACAAGGCATGGGGAGGCAGCCAGCTCAGACAAACCAGCCGCTGGACGATTTATTGAAGAATTTAAAGACTTTGCAGAGACTGGGGGATACCTACCGCAACAAGTGTTTAATTGTGATGAAACAGGACTGTTTTGGAAAAGAATGCCTAAGAGGACATACATTACCAAGGAGGAAAAATCCTTGCCTGGACACAAGCCTATGAAAGACAGGTTTACGCTTGTGCTGTGTGGAAATGCGAGTGGCGATTTGAAAATTAAACCCTTGCTAGTGTATCATTCTGAAAATCCAAGGGTTTTCAATCAGTATAATGTGCAGAAAACCCATTTGTGTGTGATGTGGAAGTCTAATAAAAAAGCATGGGTGACTAGGCTTATTTTTTCGGAGTGGGTGAATGAAGTGCTGTGCCCTGCCATAGAAAAATATCTGCAGGAGAAACAATTGCCACTCAAAGCCGTGCTTCTCCTTGACAATGCTCCTGCTCATCCTCCAGGCTTGGAAGATGATTTGTTGCCTAAATACAATAAATTCCTCACAGTTAAATTCCTTCCTCCTAACACCACTCCTCTAATTCAGCCTATGGACCAGAAAATCATAGCGAATTTTAAGAAACTGTATGAAAGGGCACTTTTCCGGAAATGTTTTGAAGTGACTGAAGCCACAAACCTCACCCTCAAAGAGTTCTGGAGAGAGCATTTTAACATTTGTAGTGCTTTAAAACTCGTTGACAAAGCCTGGCAAGAAGTGACTCAAAGAACCCTGATCTCTGGCTGGAGAAAATTGTGGCCTGAAGGTGTGAGAGAACTAGACTTTGAGGGGTTTGAGCCTATAAATGATGCGCCTATTGTTGAGGAAATTGTTAGTCTAGGCCAGCAATTGGGCTTGGAATTGGATGGTGATGATGTGGAGGAGTTGGTGGAAGAACACAACGAAGAACTGACCACCGAAGAACTCCTAGCCCTTCAACAGGAACAGCAAGCCAACACAGCAGCGAATGATTCTGCAGTGGAGGAGGAGGTGGCAGCAGCACCAACAGCACCAGCGAATGTCCCTTCTGCAGTAATTAACACTTTCGCGCTTTCCGCGAAGGTCACTCAGCCAACCGAATGTGCGCGCGGCGTTTTTATCGCTTAAGCGTAAAAACAAAAATGTGTATACTCTTTTTACTCTTCTGACCTTAGTTCTCATGCTACGTATTTCATTTTGGTACCAACGTGTTCGCAATAAAATTCTCTAGAAGAACATCAGTAAAAAAAGTCACGAAACGTATAGGGATACCAGCACCAAATAAATAACTACGAAGATGACTCGCCGTGAGCGCCCATCAGCAACAAAATGTTTTTACTCTTGGGATTGTAATCACCTCCACACTTATTCTACAGCGTTAATTTTGGTATCAATGGACTCGCAATGAAATTCCCAACACGGTGATATGAATATAAGCGTAGAATAATGATGCGGCCCGCCCGCAAGAGTGTGGGAAGTGGTGAAATTGTTACCCGGTATCGGTGACGGGACGACGCACGGCGCTTTGAAAGTTTATACTTATTTCACTCTCATGACATTAATTTTCTATGTACGTCATTCATTTTTGTGTCAATGTGTTCGCAATAGAATGTTCTATGTGCCCATAGGTAAAAAATATCAACAAAGCGTAAGTTAGAATAGCGCCAAATATAAAACAACGCTGGAACATATCAGTGAGCGTCAAACACTCACGAAATGTTTTTACTTTTGTTATGTTTGTCAAGTTTATACTTGTTGCACACAGTTATTTTTGGTTGTATATTGATCGGAATAAAATTCCCTAAACAGACATATGCATATAATACATGATATGGGGGAAGCATTACCAGTAGAAACGGCTAAAGTCACCCACCTGCAACCCGTTTGGGACAAAATACCATTTGATCGAAGTTATCCACACCTTTCATGAACTTATTGTACCATGCAGCCTAGTGGTGAGAAAGAGAGCCTCATAGCGCGCAGTTTGAAACAAACCCAAAGTAAATCGGATAAAAATTGAATTTTATACAAATATTTTAAAAGAGGACTCAACTTTATGTCCACTATGCGTTAGCGTTAGACGAAACGGGACGCGCCGGCGCGTCCAGATAGCGCGAAAGTGTTAAGAAGGTGTGTCAGATGTGGGAAGAGATTCAAACAACTATTGAACAGACTCACCCAGAGAAAGCTGTAGTAGGCCGTTGTCTTAATCTTTTCAATGACAATGTGATGCCTTACTACAGAGAGAGCTTGCGAAGAAGGGAAAAGCAAGCTTCCATGGACAGATTTGTGGTGAGGAAATCGAGCAGTGAGCCTCAACCAGGACCTAGTGGCACTCAGGTTAAACGTCCCAGGGAGAGCACACCAGAAAGGTCCTCACTGCCTGATGTGATTATGGAAGGGGACTCCCCTTCCAAACAGTAACTCCTCTCCTCCTCCCCCCTCCTCACCATCTTCCATACGCCTACAGCACTCGACAGCAAGGTAAGTAATAACTGGAACATAGTTTTGTAGGTTTATTTAGATGAATTAGGTAAATTAGGTATAAAAATTTAGTTTGATGTGGGGTTTTTGGGGTAGTCAGGAACGGATTAATTCATTTCCCTTTATTTCTTATGGGGAAATTAACTTCGGAATGCGAGTTTTCGGAAGGCGAGGCGTCTCCAGGAACGGATTAAACTCGCATTCTGAGGTATGCCTGTACTGCATTTCTGCAACTTAAAGACCTGATGAGTCATGACCGCAAGCAACTCTTCTGCTCTCAATACCTCCTCAATGCAATTCTAAACACAGAGGATGTGTAGTGCTTGAATCTAATAATTCACATAAGTTAATCAGTGTCATGGTGAGACAGAATGCAATATCTGGGTTGGTAACAGCAGGGGAGCCTGATCAGAGACTGGGCCACAGGGACACTGATTCCCAGAACTAGCACTGGATAGATGCTCTATATCACACGTCTCTGATTACTGAAGGTATATTGGACATATGTGCACTCGTGCACAATGTATATTTATTTATAGTGAAGAACACAGATTTGGAAAAATTGTTCTTCCATATTAGTGTAGTAGTTACTATTATTTTACTAGGAGGCAGTTTGAGAGTTCTTCTCCAGAATCTCAACCAAAGATTTGGTCGAGACTAGCCTTTTCTGAGGACTTTATCTGTAGAACGTTCCTGATGGGTCTGCAGACCCACATAGCCATAACAATCCGACTAATACAACAGATCCTGTGAGAAACTGTCTAATATCCTTATAGTGTTTCTGCAATTTCTTTAAATGATGTCAAGCATGTGATAATGAGACCAAAGTAAGCCAAGACAATGTAATCAACTTTTTATAATAACTTATTCACATGGTAACAATCACTAATATACATTCTCACATTACAAGGTGTAAACAAATATGCGAGATGAAGTCATCCGTCTCTCAACACTGCAGGCCAGGGAGCAATGCTGATTGTGTCCTGTCCTGTCTTGACTGCTAGGCTGAAGGCACCAAATAGAAATGTTCACCTGTTGAAATGTGAGGATCCAATGGTATTAGCCATGAGACTTCTGCCTCATTAGGCTGATGCCTTGATCAGCAAAAGACCATTAACAGTCTAGTTACCAGAATTGGTTGGCAGCACACTCATTAAAGTTTTTGGTCACCCACCAGCCAAGGGCCTATCCTGCAGTTCCAGTCGATTTGGCCCAGCAATGAGATGATGTACCTTCTGTCAGCTGTCAAACAGTGCAGGAGTGGCAAGCATTTGTAATGTTAAGTCAGTCACTACACCGTTTTGAAAACGTCAACCTTAGGTCACACATTTTTTCTTATAAGTAGCCCTCAATTTGCAGGCTAATATTGTGCACATCTGGGACTGAGCAGGGAAGAGCCCGAGTGTTGTTTGCGAGTGCCCTTCAACCCTTCTTGGATTTTGGCTCCTCTTCCATAGGGAAGAAAGCCCACAATTCATGGGCCTTTTGGGTTGTAAAATTAAGTTCTAGCATTTCTAGTGAACAAAAAATTTTTGGTTGCAAAATACAGTAATGTAAAACTTTGGATAACCCTAGTATCTGTAAAAACAATGACTTGGGGTCCAAATTTAATAAATAAGTGAGCATCTACTGTAATACACTAAACAAATTTTACTGCATGAAAAATTATGACTGCTTTTATTTTCAACGTTACCAGTACAGTATTCTGCAACTAATGCTTTATCTGCCAACAAAACATATTTAGCAAGAAAACTGAATATGACTCACCAGCTAAATAATTTCTATTTTCAGCAGCTTCTGCAATACCCTTGCCACCTTGATGAAATATTTGGATGAATATTTTCATAGAGCAAATAAGTATGGGAGAGAGTGTCTTAACACCCTCTAAACACCGCATCAAGATTTCACGGTGAACTTGGTGTGTTAACTCTTGCTGGCGGCCATCTACATCACGAGAAACCTGAAGGGACCCAATTGTAGGTAACAGGCGTATTAATAAGAATGCTTATTAATTAACTTGTAAGTTATACTCAGTGTGCATAAACTATGCTGTTTGTGTGTGCATGTGTTTCGTGTGTGTATGTGTGTTTGTGTAAGTGCATGTGTAATAACCTAAGTGTAGTTACAGGATGAGAGCTACACTCATGGTATCCCGTTTTCCCAGTACAGTACTCGTCATATAGCGCTTTGAAACTACTGACGATTTTGGCCTCCACCACTTTCTCACTTAACTTGCTCCAGCTATTTACCACTCTGTTTGAAAAAGAAACTGAATTTATTTTTTTTTTTTTGCAAAGAAATTAAATACAGCTGCTTTAGTATTTCACCATCCATGTAGTTGAAAGTGAGTCTGAATTTGAAAAGTTGGAAAGCGACACATATGCTCCTCTCACAATGTTCTTCATGTGTTCCATTGGTGACAGTTTACTATCCAAAACTACCCATAGATTTTGTGCTTTATTAGAGTTCTCTAATTCCTTTCCACAATTTATAAGTTGTGTGTGGTCTATTTTCTCCAATTCCACATTTCATAACATGACATTTATTCACAATGAATTCCATTTGCCACATGTCGCTAAAAGCCCTTATTTTATCTAGATCCATTTGAAGGGCATTACAATCATCTCCATCTCCTATCTTCCCCTGTATCTTCACATCGTCTGCAAACATGTTCATATAATTTTGTATTCCTTCTGTTAGATCATTTATGTAGACAATGAGCATTACTGGTGCAAGAACTGAACCCTGCAGGACTCTGCTAGTAACATCAATCGGATACATTGCCTTTGATTACCGCCCACATCTTTCTGTCAGTTAGAAAATCCATGTCAGAAGTTTCCCTGACACTCCTCCAGCATGTTCGTTTCCAAAACATCTGCTTGTGTGGGACTGTCAAAAGCCCTTTTTTTTAGGTCCAGATAGACACAGTCAACTCAACCATCTCTTTCCTGTAGAATCTCTGACTATCATAAAAACTAGGTAGATTTGTTACACACAGGATCTTCCTGTTCGAAAACCCATACTGTCTGTCTGTTATTATGTCATTTCTCTCCAGGTGTTCTATCCATTTGGTTTTAATTATTTTTCTAGGATTTTGACTACCACACTTCTTAATGATATGGGTCTATAATTTAGTGGGTTTTCTCGGCTACCATTTTTGTAGATTGGAACTATGTTTGCCTTTTTTCATATATCTGCTAAGGCTCCTTTGCACATGGATGTCTGGAATATCAATTAGAGTGGAATGCTCAGCCCAGCTACACATTCTCGCAGAATCTAAGGTGAAACTCCATCTGGTCCGACTGCTTCATTTCTTTCGAGCCCCTTGAATAATTTATCCACCGTGTATTGAAATACCTCTATGTATTCTATGGTGTTCTCAGTAATTGGCATTGGGTCTGGCTCTCTCAAATCCACATTTTGTACACACACACTTGAAACTGTTCATTTAATGTTTCACACATTTCTTTTATATTCTCAGTGAATCTGTTCTCCATTCTCAATCTCTTGATTTTATCCTTTACATGCAGCTTGCTTTTAATGAATTTATTGAAAAGGCCTGGATCTGTTTTACATTTGCCCACTACCCCTTTCTTCAACCCGTCCTCCTAAGGTTTCCCATTGTCAAGAAAATTATCATATTAAAGTGTCGTCTCCTAATCTACCAGAGGACCTAAAACAGAAAACAGGACAGGACATCACTTTCACGAGCTGCTTCCATTTTCTAGTATGACAATTTTTGGCCTTGTGTAACACACATGATCGAAATGCGACGTTCTTTGTAAGAAGACAGGTTGCTTTCTCAAAGTTCCTTTCTGCCTCTCTCATCATTGCTGTGTATTTATTTCTTTCTTGTTTGCTTGTAGTGCTGGTATGTTTAAGGGTTAGGCCTCTTCCGATACTGTACCCATTTTCTTTGTCTTTTCCTCTCTGGCCCTCTCAATTTCTGTTGAGCCAATCCTGTTTTCTAGTTCTGCATCTCTGTTTTGGAATAAAAAAAATTTGTGTCTTCCTCATATATTTCACAGAATTTGACATACCACTGATTCCTTGTTGCCTTGCCTAGCAACAAATTTTTCCAATTAAATTCATTAAAGAATTTGCTAAGTTCCCTATAGTGTCCTCTCTTTAAATCAAGTTCATCAACTGTTTCAATGTCCCCATTCTCTTCTAGATCTTATCGCAAAGCAGATTTAATTTCCTATAGAACATAATCACTCTTTCCCAAGAGAGGAAGGTACTGGATGTCAAATATCTCCTCTCCTTTCTTTTCCTGGTGAATATTAAACCTATTATTGATGGAACATCCCCTTCCCTCAGCCTTGTGACCTGCTTGACATGTTGATACATGAATGTTTCCAGAATGAGGTTTACAAATCTGCCTGTCCAAATGTCCTCCGTTCTTACTTCATAGGCCTCCCAGTCTATTGCTTTCAAGTACAGGTCCCCCAGTACCAACAGTCATGATTTATCTTTATCTGCTTTTACTAATTTGCTTTTACTATACTCTCTCTCATGACCAATATAAGGCCTTTTTTGTCATCTAGTTCCTCCTTTGTCCATGTGTTTCTTGATGGTGGGCTGTAGGCATTTATCAGTTTATCATCCTGATTCCAAACATGCAATGCCATTATGCCAACTTCAAGGGTTTTCAATTACTGTATTAACTCCCTTCAGGTGTTCTTTCACCAGCACAGCCCCTTCCTTTCATCTTCCTAGTTTTCCTGTCATCTCCAAACTGAGTAGCCCGTGAGAATATTACCTCACTTATATAATTTTCAATTACAATTTTCAGGAACCTGCTCCCTTCCATTTGTCCTTTACTCTCCCTTCTTTTAATGATTTTGTTGCTTTGTCTTTATGTACCATTTCATTAGCTTACTAGTCCATAACACTTTGTTGAAAAAAAGAATTTCTTTCTTCTTCATTTCTATTCCCATTTAGACATTTCGCTTCACCAAGGTTTGTTTTCAACTTTTCTGTCTTCCTTTGAGAGGTCTCGTCTTACTGACCAAAGTTTGCCATCCTCATCACACTGCGTTTCTAAGCACTTTCTAATTGCGTTTCTAAGCACTTCCACCATTTGTTTCACTCCATTAAATGTCACCCTTAAGGGGCAGTTCTTGTCTTTCTTATTTTCCTATCCTCCTAAAATTACTGACATTTTCTTTTAATTGAGGCCTTTTCCTAAGCCTAATATTTTCTCAATGATTTTCATCTCTTCTGCTGCTCTGTCCACCCTAGATGATATTTCCTTTTCTGAACAGCCCAAAATTATTATAGACACTTCTATCTGCAGTGTTTTGTACTAGTTTACTGTTGGTTACCAGTTCTTTCCTAACTGCTTGTCTAATTTCTGCTTCTTGTAGGTCATTTCTGGTTTTGACTTCCAAACACACTTCCTTGATCGTCTCTTTCTCTTGTGTAATTACCTAAGTGTAGTTACAGGATGAGAGCTATGCTCGTGGTGTCCCATCTTCCCAGCACTCTTTGTTGTATAACACTTTGAAACTACCGATGGTTTTGGCCTTGATCACTTTTCCTCACTTAACTTGTTCCAACCATCCACCACTCTGTTTGCAAAAGAATACTTTCTAATATTTTATCAGCACCTTTGTTTCCTTAGCTTGAATCTGTGTCTTATTGTTTGAAAGTTGGTGGGGTTCAGGAATTTTGTGTAATTACCCAAGTCTAATTACCTAAGTGTAGTTACAGGATGAGAGTTATGCTCGTGGTATCCCGTCTTCCCAGCACTCTTTGTCATATAACGCTTTGAAATTACTGACAGTTTTAGCCTCCACCACCTTTTCACTTAACTTGTTCCAATCGTCTACACTCTGCTTACAAAAGTGAATTTTCTTATATTTCTCCGGCAGCTTTGTTTCGTTAGTTTAAAATCTATGACCTATTGTTCTCAAAGTTCCAGGTCTCAGGAATTCTTCCCTATCAATTTTACCGATTCCTGTTACTATTTTGTACATAGTGATAATATCACCTCTTTCTTCTATTTTCTAGTTTTTCCATATTTAACACCTCTAACCTTGCCTCGTAGCTCTTGTCCTTCAGTTCTGGAAACCACTTAGTGGCATGTCTTTGCACCTTTTCCAGTTGTGTGTGTCTGTGGTGTGTGTGTGTGTGTGTTTTAGAGTGAGTGATATGGGGAGTGGGGGTAAGGGAATAGGGGTAAGCTATATATGCAGTGCTTATTATATACTATAAATATGATATTTAGGAATGTATGCCTTTCAGACAAACAGTGATTTCAGTCAAGCTTACATTACACAAATAAAACAAGTCTACCAAGCAGAAATAAACAGCACTTAAAAAATTAAATAAAATTAACAGGTAAACATTGTAGCAACCACTTTCTCAAATGCAAAATATTAACAGACTTACTCTTGTGAGACATGGAGAGAGATCTTTAACAAACTGAACCAAGTCTTCCATAGTTTCAATAACCTCTGCTACTGCTAGGTAGTCCAGGACTTTCTTGCATTCCCGGATAATTTTGCGAACTTCTGATTCATCAAAGCATAACAACAAGGCAGAGGTTCCTTGTAAGATGCCTCGGGCCCCTTCTATTAGCTTCTTTCTGCATACATTATGAAACCAAATCAGGCAGATTTGATGTAAGCTGCTCTGCGATTCATGTCTTAATACTGTATTATCATGTCTTTAACAAGTGTTTCTTGTGTTTTATGTTCCATTTCTTACTTATTTATCTGTTTAAATGTATACTTTTTAAAATCCTGTGTGAAACAAACTGAATTTTATGAGATGAAAAGAACCTTCAGGCTTATGGCACACTCGGGGGAGCCAGACATTCAAACAGGTGTCACCACTCAGAATCCAACGTCGTCTGTATTTTGTGCAAGTTCTACATCAAAAATAATTTGATTTACTATCAAGGGGAACTCACATTATTCAACAGAAATAATATATTTGAGATACATAAAAATTGCCATGCCCTATACAACGCTAACCCTTAATTTACTGGGACATGTATGGTAAACTTGGTTGATATTCTTTTATGACCTCCTTTATGATCATACATACTGTACATTAAAAATTTTAAATTTATGTTTTTATTCACTGTAAATTGATAATTCATAAAGCATTAAAACCTATTACCATATGTGTTTAAATGTACAAATTCTTAATGTATTTTCTACCATCTGAGAGCAAATAAGTAATATTCAGGAACAGAACGACTGTGTTCACCTGGCAGGCTGTGAATATGGGTCGGACTTGAGTAATGATGATGCTTCTTCTAACAGCTTGGCAGCACTTTCAACACGGTGAAGGGCAGCCGGCATGTCTTGCTTCAGGATGGGGTCATCACTACTGTTGATTGTCTCCCGCCCAACCTAAAAGATAGTCATATTATTTAATATTCTTCATTAAATCTGGAATCTAACTCGTTATGTTAAGTGGGAGTAGATTGCTGTACAATTATAGTATTGCACTGCAAGGTTAATTAGTTTTACCAGAGAAATCTAGATATCACTGTAGCAAAATGCCAGACTGGGACTATGATTATCAATAAGCCAGGATAACCAGTGGCAGCTCGTGCAAAGTCCTTCCTAAGGGATTCAGGTAAGTACTGTACTGTAGATTAAATTCATTAAAAAAAAAAAAAGGTGTATCATTAGGTTTTTAATGACACCTATTACATTAGTTTTTTTTTTTTTTTTTTTTTGGGGGGGGGGGGGGCAGAGATATTCCTGCACAGGCCAAAAGCCTCTGGCTGGCTTACTAAGTTATTTGTTTCTTGTTTCCGTTTTACTTAGGAGGGGTATGAGTATTTATGATTCATATGTTTGTTTCATTAAGATTATGCCCAACGTGTAACAACAACTTCTGCTCTGTTGAATCTTAGTTGAAATCTTAATGGGTTTGAAACTGGGCACTGTGTTAGATAATGTTCCAGTGGTCCGTTGGGCATTTCTCCACACTGCTGACATTTCCTCTCATCTTCTGGAACCTGCAAGCCTATTTCCCGAGCACATGGGTACCCAAACCTGATGCGATGTAAATGAACTTGTTTTTCTACTGCTCCCATTCATCAAAATAAGTGGTTCGTAGTTGGTTGGTTTTTTTGTACCAACCCGCAGATTCTGATGTTGCAACTGCTGTATTGTGGTCACTGTACATCTTCTGCATTGTTCTATTTCTAATTACTTTCTTAATCTGTGATAAACTCTCTGGTATGTAAATATCTACATTTCTTCTCTTAGTTGCAAGTTTTGCAGCTTCATCTGCAATGTCATTCCCTATTATTCCCACATGACTTGGCACCCAGTTGGTAAGTATCTGATGACCTTGATGTTTCAGTGTTAAGGGGGCGTCTGCTTGTCAGGTCAAAGTTGTTCAATGTCAACCAATATTATTTGACGATGTAATATACACAGACTTTGCAAAAGCTTTCGACAAATGTGACCATGTTGTTATTGCGCACAAAATGCGTGCACAAATAATTACTGGCAAAGTAGGAAGATGGATCTTCAACTTCTTAACGAACAAACCAATAATCAACACAGTAAAATCCGCATCATCCACTTTGAAAAGCTCAGTCCCCCAAAGGTACTGTGCTTACTCCAGTATTTTTTCTCATCCTAATATCAGACATAGACAGGGATACAAACTACAGCACTGTATCATCATTTGTAGATGACACGAGGATTTTCATGAGAGTCGTCAATATAGAGAACACGGCAAACCTCCAATCTGATGCAGATGAGGAGTCACAATAACGTGGCTGAAATATGTTGACCAAACCACACACTAGAAAGTGAAGGGACGACGACGTTTCTTTCCGTCCTGGACCATTCTCAAGTCGATTGTGATGAGGGAAGGAGGTGAAGGCAATAAATAGGCAAGAGAGGGGTAATGTAAATAGGGCCTTTCAATGGGCCACAGATAATATGGTATTTAATGAAAATAAGTTCCAGCTTCTGAACTAGGAAAAAATTTTTTTTTAAAAAGCGGAAACCATATATAAAACGGAATCAAAGCACACAGCAGAGCGAAAAAGTAATGAAGAGGATCTAGGAGGATCTTCATGTCAGAAGACCTTACCTTCACAGAACACCATAAACCAACTGTCACGACTGCAAGAAAAATGACAGTTTGGATAACAAGGACCTTCCAAACAAGGGATGTCATACCAATGATGATACTTTTCAAGACACTAGCGCTCTCTAGGGTGGAATTAATTACTAACCCCGCCCAGGATGCAACCCCACAACAAGCTGACTAACTCCTGAGCACCTACTTATTGCTAGGTGAACAGGTGCATTAGGTGAAAGGAAAAGTGCACAATCACTTGTGTCCCACCCGGGATACGTCATGGATCAATATTAGGCTCCATACGGTTTATGATGGATCAGTACATGATAGACATTGATTGATTGATAAAGATTAAGCCACCCAAGAGGTGGCACGGGCATGAATAGCCGGTAGTGATAGACATGATATCTACAAGACTACAAGACTATTAAGACGCCTAGACAAGGTAGGTGAAGACAACACAGTGGCAGAGGGACGTGACAACATTGTCCAGCAGTGTAGGATAACAAATAAAAAGAAATAGCGAAGTTTGGGTGACAAGTTTCTTTCACAGTTTTCCCAGTACTGTACATATATGACAAAGCATTATAATGTGGGCGAGTGTTGCAGAGGACTACTAACAAAGACAGCAGCCCAGGAGCTAGAGCTTGTTCTCCCCACAAATACGAGTTGGTAAACAAGAAGGCCTTTGAGCAACATTCTGGTATATTGTACATTTTACGCTAAACGATATAAACTGATTTGCCCATAAATCAATAGTATTTTATTTTTACTGTTTTTATTTATACAGGTATATGCAAGAGTTCTTACATTCTTGTACAGCCACCAGCACGCACAGCGTTTGGGGCAAGTCCTTAATCCTAATGTTCCCCGGAATACGACCCGCCAAATCGCTTAACAACAGGTACCCATTTTACTGTTGGGTAAACAGAGGCTACAGTTAAGGAGTGGCACCCGGTCAATCCTCCCCGGCCAGGATACGAACCGCAGGTCATAAGGTCACGAAGCGCCAGGCGAGTTCACACATGTAATAACACCATGCTCTTATAGAATGTGATAATGTAATTTCAAAGAGGTTCAGTGACGCTAATGCTGACAGTGTGTGGAGAGGGCGGCCAGGAGAGCTGGAGGTGTTAACGAGAGTATTAGCGAGGCGTGCGTGGCCACACCACCCATCCAGGGATTACTGTCACTCACCCATCCACCGCCCACTTCACGCCGTCCTCCCCACTACCATCATAAGCACCACAGCCGGACTGTGGTGGGCATGTGAGCCTGCGGGCCGCAGGCCTACTAAGTCTTAAGATGGAGCCTGAGATGCCTAGTGCTTGAAGCTTCATTATTAATCCAGAGTGCCAGACCCGATCAAAGGCTCCTACAAAGGCTCTAGACCAACAACACAGCTGATCTTGGACTCATCCAGTGACTGATGCCACTTAGTGCAGAGATTTAGCAAGAGATCAGCAGCAGATCGGCCTTTTCTAAAACCATACTGTCGATCACACACTAGCCGAGGATGGTCAAAAAATATCAGCATTTGCTGAGTGATTAATGATTCTAGGATTTGACCAGTAATGGAGAGCAGTGAAAAAGAACGTCATGGAGGGCGTGCTCCCCCCCTCCCCCCACAATACAAGGTACTACTCCTTTCCCTCCACCAGAATCAAGACTCCTCATCTGCTACCATAACAGATTCATACACAACCTTCACAGACACGGCCAGGTACTTGCAGACCTTACCAGCCTCAAATACCACACACTTAACAGCTTAGACCTTGATCACACCAACCACTGGAAGACTCTCTTACAGAAAGCTGAACTATACACACGAACAACTTCCCCACAACAATTCTGGAATTTCATTAGGAGGATCAGGGGCAGCTCCTCCTCTTCTGCGTTTAAATACATCGCTCATAACAACCAAAATTTCATTGATCCAACAGAAGTAGTGGATATCTTCACACAGCACTGGCAAGACATCTTCACCCCCCCCCCCCCAAACAACCAACAGCACTACAAAACAACAGTAGAAACACGGATCCGCCAAAACCCACAGAACACCACACACTGCACCTGGTATGGCGCTCCAGTGGATAAGGGAGTACCTAAACAATAGGAAGCAGAGAGTTACAGTGAGGGGTGAGACCTCAGACTGGCGTGAAGTCACCAGTGGAGTCCCACAGGGCTCTGTACTTGGACCTATCCTGTTTCTGATATACGTAAATGATCTCCCAGAGGGTATAGACTCATTCCTCTCAATGTTTGCTGACGACGCCAAAATTATGAGAAGGATTAAGACAGAGGAGGACAGCTTGAGGCTTCAAGAAGACCTGGACAAGCTGCAGGAATGGTCGAACAAATGGCTGTTAGAGTTTAATCCAAGCAAATGTAATGTAATGAAGATAGGGGTAGGAAGCAGGAGACCAGATACAAGGTATCACTTGGGAGATGAAATACTTCAAGAGTCCGAGAGAGAGAAAGACCTGGGGGTTGATATCACGCCAGACCTGTCATCTGATGCTCACATCAAGAGGATAACAGCAGCAGCATATGCCAGGTTGGCTAACATAAGAACGGCCTTTAGAAACTTGTGTAAGGAATCTTTCAGAACATTATATACCACATATGTCAGACCAATCCTGGAGTACGCGGCACCAGCATGGAGTCCATATCTAGTCAAGCATAAGACTAAAATGGAAAAGGTTCAAAGGTTTGCCACCAGACTAGTACCCGAGCTGAGAGGTATGAGCTACGAGGAGAGACTACGAGAATTAAACCTCACTTCGTTGGAAGACAGGAGAGTTAGGGGGGACATGATCACCACATTCAAGATCCTCAAGGGAATTGACAGGGTTGATAAAGACAGGCTGTTTAACACAAGGGGCACACGCACTAGGGGACACAGGTGGAAACTGAGTGCCCAAATGAGCCACAGAGATATTAGAAAGAACTTTTTTAGTGTCAGAGTGGTTGACAAATGGAATGCATTAGGAAGTGATGTGGTGGAGGCTGACTCCATACACAGTTTCAAGTGTAGATATGATAGAGCCCAATAGGCTCAGGAACCTGTACACCTGTTGATTGACAGTTGAGAGGCGGGACCAAAGAGCCAGAGCTCAACCCCCGCAAGCACAACTAGGTGAGTACAACTAGGTGAGTACTGCCCCAACATCGACCTCACGACGCTAGACGAACGAGGCGCACTCAACTCCACTACTACCCGAAGACATTAAACTCGTGCTCGAAAACACCCTAAGCAAAGCCCCAGGAGCCTCAGGTCTAGGCCAATCTCTTCTATAGCAACTCCCAGACTCCCTGATCCTTGCACTCACGGGCATATACAACCCCTCACTAGCCTCAAGATATTTCCCCTGTCCATTCAAAGAGGCCACAATAATTATTATCCCAAAACCTCAAAAACCCTGACCTACCCCAAGAACTACAGACCGAATAGCTTGCTAGAGACACTAGGTAAGGTATTTGAAAGACTTTTAAATTATAGACTCAGACATCACCTTGAACACAGGAACTGGTTAACCGACAAACAATTTGGCTTTCGCCAGCACCGCTTCACACAAGACGCTTCAACATAATAACAAACTACCTCAACAAACATCAAAATGTCAAGACAGCCTTCGTTGCAAAGATGTCGAAAAGCCGTTTGACACAATATCTGAGGCACAGCGCCCTCTGGTACAAACTCTGCACTCTTTGATATCTACCTGGCAACATGCAGGGGTTACTATGCTGCAGCTTTCTTACGGAAAATTACGGATCAAGTTCCTCAACAAGGTGTCAGGATACTTCAACCTGAATGTTGGAGTTCGCCAAGGCTCAGTATTCTCACTGATTCTACACATTCTACATCAATGACATCCCCGCCCCACTATACTGGACATCACTGACTCTTTTCTACGTTGACGACGTGACCCAACTGATCTCAGGATACACCATAGACACCCTCAACACGCAGAACACAGGAAGAAATAGACAGAGTAACTCTCTGGGAACATGACTGGAGGATAAAAACCAACCCAAAGAAGCCAAAGATCACCTGTTTCTTCTGTGACAAACGACGAGACCCAGCTTCATTAAAATTACTCACAGTCACCAGACCCAGTCCACATCCCTAAGGTAAACACCACCACAGTACTCGGCCTCACACTAGATCACAACTTTCCTATGCGCACACACACACTAACACACTACAAAAAAGTTATAGCCTATCAAACTCTCTCTACACTCTTACGCTTAAGACGCGCTACCCCAGCCTCTAAGCACTACCTTTACAAAACTCTCATTCTCCCACTTCTCACATACACTGATTCCACTATCACTCCCAAACCCAACTAACAGGACAAAACTCCAGCGTACCCAGAACAGAGCCCTGCGCTGGGTATTAGTCCACCAGTGGCAGGACTTTGCCATCCGTGAAGCCCTCCCTGCACGAATGGGCGAATGCCCCGGTGCTGAACTTGGTCTGGAATACAATGGGAGAAAAAGCAAGTCACAAGAATTCTCACCTTCCATGACAACTATACAACCTACCTTAGCAGACCCAGAAACATTCACATTTTCAGCTTAATGACCCACCCCCTACTCCAACATTCATCTAAGGACCTAGCTCCTCCTAACCGCTCCTTAACCACCTAGCTTATACCTATCCAGCCTCCTGCACTCTTCTCCCCCTTCTTGGGGGATGGAGGACCCAACTGACTTCTGTTTTCTTGCTTTTATCTTGGTGGATCCAAAGCCAGAACTGGTGTGAACTTCCATTGCCAGCTGAGGGCTGACAGTCTCCGTGGGTGCCCCGAGAGACGGGATGTTGTCACTTAAAAAATCCGTTATCTTGCCGCCATTGCTTAGTCTGGTCATAAACGTCGTGCAGCTGGGTCAAGCCCACGCACATTATCTTATCCTAAAAACCTTTCATCTCCCCCACTACCTCTTCCCCTATCCCCGCTCACTCCATCTTGTCCTATATTGGATTTGATTCAAGAGCAAGAGAGCAAGAGAGCAAGAAAAACTCTTGCATCAGAAGGTGGCAGCACAAGAGACGCCAAACTACACATTTAAATACCAAACAAAAATACATCATTTGCCTGACCTACTGAACTATTTGGATAGTAACCTATAATTTCTTCATCGCTTGTAAACATCTCTAAATGACTTATCGCATCGTCCTATTAACACAATAGAAAAAGATAGTACTAAAGTGGATAGAAAAAGGTATACTAAAACGATCAGATCAAACCAAACCTATCAACTACACACCTAAAACGTGAATGTTTCTGAGCGCCGCTATGATTTATAGCACACCTTTATTTGTCCGTTCTGGATTTTAACGTCTAAATGCGGTGTACTAGAGGAAGGGTTGTGTACCCCGCCACATGCTGCCTCTCACCACTACTGCTTGACACATGCCTCTGGTGCTTTTACTAGAGCTAATTCTTCGTTAACTCCCTTCTAAATCTCTACACCACCGCTCCTGTGCCAGGTAAGTCCACTCCGGGCTCACCATAGCCCGTGCTACTTGCAACTTTTAGTTCCCAGCAGCTGAACCTAAAACAACAATAACAATTTTAAATCAATCTCTCTCTCCCCACTGGCCACCATCCACCCGTGCCCACACCACCCTCTACTCTTATCAACTCTCTAGCCTCTCCTTAATGGCATCGTGCACGCCACACCCGCCATACACTTTACAGTTCACGTTTAACTAGAGGTGCCCATACCCGACACTCAGGAATGACCAAGCCACTTTACACAGCTGTCATCCCAGTGTACACTGCCCCAAAACAATATATTTCCTGGCTCTAAATTCCTGCTGGGTTTAGTTGGTGGAGTCGGCTATAACAGCTACCGTTCAGGTGACATTAACGAGCTAACGTTAAGTGACTTACCTTGACTAGGTTGATGACAGCCTTTGAGACAGCCATGACAGGTTTCTCCAGGTCCGGCATAGCGTTGCCATCCTCGGCCTCCTCGTGCATGATCACCAGCCGTGACACCTGTAACAATAATAACACCTTATGTTACCAACAATCACCAAGATCACACCTGTATTCTTCACTCGCTCACATCCACAACCATTTGTTAACGTAATTATCAGACAAATCACTCTAGTATAATTATCCCGAGACACAATTATCTTATTAAGAAACTTCACAGGATGACTATACAATGTTCCCTGATGTCTATACAGTATACCTAGGTCATAGAAGTATGTGTGTGTACGTCTGATACCATACTACTTGTGTAAAGGAGGAAATGTATATGTTTATCTCTCAATGTTTGGTAATATGTTTATTGTTTGTGATGTGTGTATGTATGTATTAACACGATGTACTGAACGGGGCGAGAATAGCTTGAGCTACCTCATCCCTTTGTGTGTATTTTACCTCAATAAACTTATTTCAATTTCAATGTTCCCTGAAGTTTGTATGTTTTACCTGGAACATACCTGGAGAGGGTTTCGGGAGTTCTTCTATTCCCAGACTCCGGCCAGAGGCCAGGCTCGAACATTGTTTTTAATAACTGAAATATATAATTCGAAGTCAATATTTACTTTCTTGCGGCCGCATTGGCCAATTGACTTACAAAGTCACACCTTCCCAACTCCGACATGAGATGGAAGCAACTCAAATTTAAATAAGATAAATATATTACCGGAAGCAACCATCTTTTTTATTTATTATTACAAGTTACTTTAGACATTGTGATTGATTGTATACAAACTGCGGTATAGTTACGGGCATACAATCCCCGTCCTGCTTGAGGCTCAAGAGCGCAGGCGCGGAAAACGTTTGAGGAACGACAAGAAGTTTAATTCTTTTGAAAAGAAGGATGCAAGCACCCAGATATTGAAATTAAACTTTTTAAATGACATGTGCATGAAAATACTGTAGTGTATTTTGATTTGTATATAAACAAATTAATGGCATTCTTATAGACAGTGCTAATAGAACAAATGAAGACATTTGTATATACAGTGAACTCTTGTTCAAGTGTTGGAACGAGAGTGGAAAAAAAAGTCGAGAAAACTAGGATTGATTGACTGATGAAGATTAAGCCACCCAAAAGGTGGCACGGGCATGAATAGCCCATAAGTGGTGGCCCTTTGGAGCCATTACCAGTATCAAGAGCTGATACTGGAGATCTGTGGAGGCGCGACTGCACCCTGCGTGACGGGAGATGTCTCCCGTCGAAAACTAGGGATGAGTAGCAGATGTTAAAACGTATGGGACATAAGGGGCAACTCACGGACCCAGTGTGATGTTATGGAGGTGGGTCATTTTGTCTTCATATCTTCTGCAAATTCTAAGTAGTCTATGCTGTGTGCATCAGAGGTGTGGCACGGGCCCCGCCCGCCCGCCACTCTTCAGTTTATATTAAAGTCGGACACGCCTTCCTCGGAGAGTGAAGATAATGTTCTTCAGATGTATGATCTGTCTTTGATTATCATGGGTGAGAAGCACTAGCATGACCCGAGTGATAAACCATTTGTACAAATTATTAGGTGTGAAGACTAAACCATACACCAATAAATGAGGAGACGACGACGTTTCAGTCCGCCCTGGACCATTATCACGTCGATTGTCGACTTGATAATAGTCCAGGATGGACTGAAACGTCATCTCATTTTCTGGCGTGTGGTTTAGTCTTCATATCTTAAGGCACGTTATTGTGACTCATCGTCTACAAATTATTAGGTAATTGAGGAGACCTGTACAGCTCACAGTTGATAGACAGCAGCTATATGAAGACATTTTAGATCGCAGAATGTTGCCATCAAGTCGAGTCAACATGAAAACATCAAGACCCGAGGAGTTTCTCGACTATATTGTTCAGTATGGAGATGTGAACGTCTTCCCATTGGTATTCTGATAGTGTTAACCATGGCAGTACACAACGTCAGCTGTGAGAGATCATTTAGCAAGTTAAAATTCTGGTTTGTGGCTCGGAGAGGCTACAGGATCCAGTAAGTTCAGTAGAAATTCGGTTTCATCTCTTTTACCCTGTCGTAGCTCAGTCGATTAAGGCAGTGTCTGGGATGCTCCCGGACGCAGGTTCGAATCCTCGTCACGGCCCTTGTGGATTTGTTCATTTGATGCATCACGTTAGTGTGCTCTCTGTGTGTAATAATACCAATACTGTTCGTATATGAGAGCCTCCATGGGTCAAGGGAGACTATGATCTTACTCTGCCGAGTGTAGAAAGAAGAAACTGAATCAGTCTGACTTCGAACACATCACAGTCAACATGTAGTTACTGGGACCGTGGACCCTGCGTGTGGGAGGCCCGAGCTCTATCCACCGAGCTCCATTAATAAATCAGATTAATCTTCACCAATCAGTCAGTGAAGGCCAGGAAGGTGCAGCTGTAATTTTCATGTACTGCTATAATTTGTTAAAAGTTTAACGAGCTCGACGTATTTTTTAGCTGATACTATGATGAAGTTATATAAGAAATAGCGTCAGACGTTTGTATAGGGGCGAATTTCTGTGGTTGCCATAGCGGCTGTTTTCAGTCCATATGTATTCACCTAGTTGTGCTTGCGGGGGTTGAGCTCTGCTCTTTCGGCCCGTCTCTCAACTGTCAATCAATCAACTGTTATTAACTACTAACTAATTTTTTCACACACGCACTATCCCCCCCCCCCTCCTCGTCCAGGAAGCAGCCCGTAACAGCTTACTAACTCTAATGTACCTATTTACTGCTAGGTAACAGGGGCATCAGGGGTGACAAAAACTCTGCCCATCTGTTTCCTCCGGCGCGGAGAATCGAACCCCCGAATCACAGGATTACGTATCCAGCGTGCTGTCCACTCAGCCACCAGCGCCCTATGTCCGTGCGTGTAATTACCTAAGTGTAATTACCTACGATTACTACGAATTACCTAGGTGTGCTCACCTAGTTGTGCTTGCGGGGATTGAGTTTCGGCTTTTTGGTCCCGCCTCTCAACTGTCAATCAACTGGTGTACAGATTCCTGAGCCTACTGGGCTCTATCATATCTACATTTGAAACTGTGTATGGAGTCAGCCTCCACAACATCACTGCCTAATGCATTCCAACTGTTAACTACTCTGACACTGAAAAAGTTCCTTCTAACGTACCTGTGGCTCATGTGGGTACTCAGTTTCCACGTACGTACGTGCGCGCGCGTGTGCGCGTGCGTGCGTGCGTGCGTGCGTGCGTGCGTGCGTGCGTGCGTGCGTGCGTGTGTGCGTGCGTGTGTGTATGTGTGTATGTATGTATTTATTTTGATGCCTTAATATTTGATAGGATGTTCTGACATCCTATCTGAACAGGTTGAGATATCTGTTGCTTTGTTGCACATTAATTTATTTGTGAATAATTGTGTTCCATTCCTGCGAGTGAGATAATATTTGGTGTAGGGCCACGTGCCAGTGTTGGCATTATTTATTGATATTTCAATGTTTAACAACGTTCCTGAGTAGTGGCATTATGTGGCGATTGTTCAGTGTAGGCCACAGTGCCAAAGTGATAACATCTGCTTAATACCTGCTTGATGGAGTTCTGGGAGTTGTTCTACTCCCCAAGCCCGGCCCGAGGCCAGGCTTGACTTGTAAGAGTTTGGTCCACTAGGCTGTTGCTTGGAGCGGCCCGCAGGCCCACATACCCACCACAGCCCGGTTGGTCCGGCACTTGGAGAAAATGACCTAGTTCTCTCTTGAAGATGTCTACGGTTGTTCCAGCAATATTTCTTATACTCGTTGGGAGGATGTTGAAAAACCGTGGACCTCCCAGCAGGGACCTTCCTTACACGATACATCAGCCTTAAAAGTGTCAAACTGATACACGACTTTGCTCCGTATCCCAGTGAATGATAAAACACTGTATACGTAATTAACTAATGGTTAAATAGAATAATATTAAGGACTGAATGGTGTTTGAGATAACCAGTGGACGTGACAAGTGTCGTAGAACAATTATGTATTAGAGATAAGACCTACCATTAATGTATAATGATTTACTGTAAATATATAGCTCTTGAAATAGAACATTCTCTGTAACCTGCTAACATTGTAATTATAAGGCGTGTGAAGAATAGATGGAATTGTTTATGTAGTACTCTCCGTTGAGGTCTGATAAATACCTTTTGTGCCCTCTGTAATGTTTTTTTGCGCAATCGCTCACAGGATGAGTATGGGGTGCACAATAAACTACCCGCCTCTGGCGGCCAAAATAAAATAGCAGAACATATCCTGGTAGAGCAGTGACTAGTTACATCAACACGGGTGGGGCGGGGGATTGTTTTATTAGTTTTATAGAATTGTAATATCAATATAGCTATAGGTAAGTACTAATTGTAATTAAGAAGCAATAAATGTTGTTTACATGCTTGTCCTCCGACACTCCCAAGGTTAGGTTAGGTCGTGGTGTTCTATACAGCTTTTCAGGTAAACTCTAATATTCACAATATTCTGGTGCGATACTGGCGATTAAGTGTATTTATGTACTATGCCGATGGTCAGAATTGTACTTATTACATTTAGCATTAACACGCATTGTCTATTCGGAGGATGGGCTGGGATAGCTGCAGAGGGGGGGGGGGGGCTGCCGCGGTCCCCCTGCACACCTGCTCTCCACACCTGCTCCACACACTGCAACCTTCTCACGGGTTACTGCTAGTCACCAAATACTAAAGTCATGGATATTTCCTCCTGGCTGAAATTGAACAATACAACTGGCACATGCAATATCATCTACGGTGGCAGCAGACGTGTGGGGGGGGGGGGAGCGAGGCGGCCACCCTCACACAAGATGTGCCACCAACACACGAAGGAGTTCCTTGTTAACAGCACTCGGGGCGTTGAGAAGCACGTCTCCACCTTCTTCCCCACCCCCACCCAGAGTCTCCACCTTCTTCCCCACCCCCACCCAGAGTCTCCACCTTCCAAACCCCACCCCCACCTAGTCTCTCCACACCCCTATACTCCACCCCCACCCAGTCTCTCCACACCCCAATCCCCAACACCACCACCA